TATTCCCTTCTACTCTCAGGCAAAATGAGATGCAAAGATTTTGTTCCTCCAGCCTTTGTGAGGGATGCATCTTTTGTCCCACAGAAAGGTGAACTTTCTGGATTTTGTGCTTTTGAAATGTTCTAATGATCACATGCTCTTCTTCACCTCAGCACTTCCAAGCTCTTTGAAGTTGTTCTTTCCAGTTGGGATTCAGCTATGTGCAGACTTTTATGGCTTTATTATATTTTGGGCTGGTGTACCTTGAGACTTCTTTCTCTTTCAAAGATTAAAACTTAACACCAGATGTGTAGCTTAAAACTAGTGGCATTGTTCCCTTAAACTGCTCTAGACTCTTCTTTCTTCTTGGCCTATCCCCCTTCATTTTCCAGACCCCTGGGTATAGCTTCAGAGGCTTTCTTAGTACCTTCTGATTTTGCAGTTGCTAATTGTTCCTCTGGGGACGTAGACCTAGCTGTAGACAAAGCCTCTTTAACATGGACTCTGCAGCACAGAGGAAACATTTGACTAAGAAAAGTAGCAGATTGCATGTAAGGAGAGGCAAAGCCCTTGTCCTGTGGCTGGAGCAATGATATTGATCACCCTCCATTCCCCATCTTCTGCAGACACAGCTGAAATGCAGCTTGGACTAAGTAGTTGAGCAATACAGGAAAAAAGCTCTCCTCCCACTCCCAAATCTTTCTCTCCCTGGCATTTACCCTCATAGGAATAGAGCTTGACCCCAGCTCTGCCCTTCTTACTTTAATACCTTAAGAAGAGGTAGAGACTGCTGAAGGACAGGGAGCAAAGGAAGATGTGATGAGGATGGGAATAGGTAACAGCTTGGAGAAGGGGCGTTACTGGAGAGTAACAAAGTGTGCCCACAAGAAATGAGGCAGCAGAGAATCAATAAGGAAGGGAGCTGCTCTTACAGCTCTGTGAAAGTTAATGGTACCTCCACAGCATCCCTTGTCCACCTTTAATTCCCATATCTCTGCCTTCCTTACAGGATGGTGTACTCATCTGGCACCTCATTATTTTCCCTCTCCTATACTGACCTCTTATCAGAGCCAGAATTTCTAAATTTTACCTATGTGACTAAAGAGTCAGCCTTCCAGTGTAAGGGCTTGCACCATTCCTGTTGTCAGTATGGTACCCATAGTAGAAGTTCATTGCATTGATTTCAGACTGTGGGTTGCTATTGCTAACATTTACCAAAAGTAGTAAAGTGCTCTGTGCATTGAAAAAAATACGTAAAAGCTCAAAATCAGTTTGGGATCCTTTTTTCCTTAGGGGTACCATGAAACTGTGAATGTTTGCTTGTGTCACAAGGTAGTTAGACTGTATAGAATTAGAGTCTTTATCTTGTGACATTTAAGAATATACTAGTTAGGAAAGGAGGCCAGGTACAAATGATTACACATTGTTATCCACATGGCAGCAACATGGAGCCAAAGTATAAATTATGCTATTGGGTACAAAAATGTGTAGTGTGTAGCTACATATTATCTGGCCTTTGCTCTTAAATATTGTTAAATGTTGTAGGACTTTGTTGTTCACGTGGTAGCTAGGCACTGCTTGGGATTTACAGAGATAATCTGTAGATGTTGGTTCAAAAGTTTTAAAAGTGAGGACAGACAATGAGAGCTTTGTGAGATGTGGGAAACAAAATGAAGAACTGGCAGGGCTTATTCTCACTTGCAGCTAACTCTTAATTGGTAAGAGAAAGTAGAGCCAGTTGAATGGCTTTCACTACTGCTACACTAGTGACATTTGAATTTATGTTTAAAATCAAATCAGAAGGCTGATTAATAATCCAACCATACAGATAGGCAGCGCTTGACTAGAGAAGGTCCTGAGCTATCTGATATGGCTTTGAAGACAGCCCTGCTTTGAGCAAGGTGCTAGACCAGGTGATTTTCAGCTGCCCTTTCCAGCTAAACATACTGGAAATCATTCTAATGACCTGAACTTCACAATATCAATTCTTGCAAATTGCTGGCTTTGTTCAAGTGAGTAATTTTACTTACATTCTTCTCTATTTGAAGAACTGGGTTTAGAACAAGCAGTAGGACCCAAGGGCCATATTCTCTCATCTTTATAGAAATTCATTACATGAATTACCTTCCTGCTGGTGTAAGACTGCAGGCAGACAAATAGGTGTGGTTTTGTCTCTGTGCAATTCACTAATCCACTGTGCTTCTTTGCATACGTGATATACTACAGGTCTGTATGGGGTGTGGTGGCAGAGCAATGAATGCCTCTTCTGCTGAGTTCTAAAGCTGTGAGCCTGAGCCTTCTCTTAATTGTGCTGAAAGTGATGCTGAAGATAAAAGGGCATGAGATAGCAGAGAGCCAAAGGTGCAGTGCTGACTATTTCACTTCTGTGGGGATGGGGACTTTGCTGGGTGATGAAGGTCAGATATCTGTCACTGGCCCTGGGGCTACGTCCAGGCATGTCCTTCCTGTGCTGGTTATCAGAGAAGCTCTGCAGCACCTCAGATATGGAAGGCTATTGAGTCTCTTGACTGCTAGATGAATATTTATGTGTTTTGAGATCCGGGGACTCCGGTGTCCATTCCTTGGTGGATGTGTGGTTTGCCACATCCTAAAACAGTTCCAAAGTTTTGAGACTTTGAAAATATGGGGCTGAGAATTCATACTCCTATCTTTTCTCATTTGTGTATGAGGAATGGACACAGTATGCAGTTGCTTAAGGAAGTGGTTCCTGGAAACTAGAATATTTGCGTGTTGCTGTAAAGGCAAAGTGTAACAGAAATCAGGTGTCAGAACTGAATCCATCTACACATGCACAAACAGAAACACTTTTTTTTGCATCTTTTGTGTGGGGATAAGTATAATTTAATTAATAAGAACTCCAATGGCCTAGAAATAGTGCAGTTTGGGAATAAATCAGGTGAAAAATAAATGTCCTGAGGATTTTCAGTACTCTATTTCCATGCCCAGACTGACAGAAAGTCAGAGACAATATTAAACATCATTATCTCTCTTGTAATAAATTTCCCTGGTTTTTATCTCCTGACCAGCAATTTACTAATTTACAGGAAAGTGAAGGAAAGTATTTGAACTATTTATACAGCAGTGAAGGTGGTGTCATGTTATCTTCCTTGTTTTGCAAGATCCTGTTTGCTAACTGTAAGTTATGGCCCTAGGTACTGCCGAAGTGTGTGTTATCTTGTGAAGGGGGAAAGCAAAAACAAGTAGAACAAGCAAAATGCAGTGTGGTGAAGCTGGAAGAAAACACCACAGACCACTCAGCACTGGTGCCAAGCTGTTTGCACTGCTGTGAGGAAGGAGCACCTCTCCTTGCAGTAAGCGCACTGCCCCAAGCCCTCCTCTGTCACTCTGCAGTCTGTGTGACAGTTCATCACAGGTCTGTTTTCTTTCTTTTCCTTTCCCATGGAGTCCACCCTTCAGGAGTGCACTGTTTCACACAGGTCCCCATGGGTGGCAGTTCCCCCAGCCCTCCTGCCCCACTGTGTGCTGCTCCTGCGAGAGCTCTCCGTGTGCTGCAGCCTCCTTCAGTCCTCATCCACTGCTGCACTGTGGGCTCCTTCATGGGCTGCACCTTTTGGTAGAGAAGCACAGAAAACCTCCTGTTATAAATACATGTTCTTCTGCTCTTCCTAATTCGGTAATACAAATCAGGCTCTGTAGCTAGTGGGTGAGCCACAATCCAGCTGTGGTCCCATCCCATTAGCCTGAGTGTCAGTGCAAGTGTCTCCAACATGGGTTAGGCATCCTCATCTCAAAGCTCTTGGCTTCTGAACCCTCTCTTCTTCACCTGCAGCAGCAATCAGAAGAAAATTAGGAAAACTTGAAAGTCAGCCCATTCTGGACCCTTCTCACTCTATCCCTGTGAAGGTACAAGCAGCAGGTGGGAGAAACAGAAACTTTCTTGAACAAACCCAGCTCCTGTAGAATAGCCTCCAGGCATGGTACAGGCACTGAGCAGAAGTGGCTTTGAGGCAGTGATTTACACCATGCTCAGTTCTTCCCCTGCCCATGTCAGTGGTGCTGCCTAGTAGCTATATGCCACCAAAACCTGTTCATTCCAGCATGCCAGCCCTGGTGGGTCACAGATGGGACAACTGACTGCTGTCACCACTAGTCGTAAGTTTTAGATTTTGTTCTGTTGGCAGTGAGCTGTTCTTGAGGAAGTGTGAGCTGAGACAGATCTCTGAGTGTCTCAGTGGCAGCCAAGTCTGTCCCATCACCCCAGCCAGGGCCAGGGCAGCAGCAAATTGGACACACTGCTCCAGATGAGGTGTTCCGGGTGGTGCTTAGAAAGGAGAACCAATTTCTTTGCTCACTATGCTCTTTTAGCTGACATAGACCACTAGGTTATTAGATTAAGTTGCTGTGGGGGACTCTTATTCAACTTCTCACCCATTAGTGCTTGTTCTACAGTTGCTGCTAGCCTATATGTCCATGCTTATTCCTCTGCGTGTCATTTTTTCCCTGCTGCACAACCTTGCTGTACTTAAAATACTACAAGTGAAATGTGTTTGCTTAAACATGTTTTTATTATGATTAAAGGAACAAAAGAGAACATTTGCAAGACCCATTACATATGGATACAAGGAAAACAATTTGAATACTAACACCATATTTGGTCACGATGATTGAGCCAAAGTTTAGGGAGAAATGTGAATTATAAGATTTTTATAAGGCATCTTTAGAAAGTGAAGAAGAGCCTTGTAGTATCAGGAACACAGAGAAAAAGCAATTGCCTTGTCAGCATAGGAATGGTTGGTGACAGTTGATAGTTTAATCTGAGAGATTTTGAGTGACTAATTTTGGAGGAGCTTGGTCATACAGATACCTGGCTTAATTGGAAGGCTGCATTTTTTCCCCATAAACCGTCTGCTGACGTATCAGGTTGCATTTTTCAGTGATGACTCAGTACTGTGAGTCTAATTTTCATTCCCTTAGCCCTTCATCCATGAGTTGTATAAAGGAAAGGTGAAGTGCACCTGTTCTCACAGTGTAATTTCTGATTTTTTTTTTTTTTTCTAGATAAAGCCCTAACTTTTATAAAATCTGGATGCAGCAGAGAACATGCTTTTCATTTTACCCCTGATACTACAGTGCTCTGGGTCTTGCTGAAAGGGATAGACTCTTTCGACTTTCTTCTTTTTAAGGGAAAATACATCTGCCAAGGAAGAGAAGGGTGTTGGATGGGTTGTGCTTGATACAGTAGAGGAATGGATGGTCAACCCTAAATTCTTCAGAGACGCTTGTAGCATCCATTGCAGCCTCTGCTGAGCCTGCCACCTCTCTGCCTGCTTCATAGATTTCTGCATATGCTGCATGGACAGCTTGAGATATCTTCAGGCTCCCTACTGAGGAGATGCCAGACAGATTGGCTGAAGAGCTGAACAGGTCAGTCATTCCCATAGCCATTAAGATAGATGTGAGGTTATATTTTTCCTCCATCTTCATGCGAGGTAAGTACACTCTGATCTTCCTCTCTTCCATAATATTAGAACTGGTCCATTCAGTCATTTTTTCAAAGCTGATTGTAGTCTCAAGCTGCAAGGAAATGAGAATGAGTTCCATGGGATGGTGACATAACTTCCTTCATGGCAATGCAGTACTAGTTACTATCATGTGTTTTTTTATGTACGTCTTTTAAACTGATTACTCTTGTCATGGCTTTTTCCTAGGCATGTAGAGATCAATTTTGCTAGAAGAGAAAAGCATTCCATGATTCTTTCTTCTCTGCTCAGTCTTATTTTCTTTTCCTTTTATAGGCTTATTGCCATTTCTTTAAAAAATAATAATGAGATGGCTACTCCCTTAAAGCCCCTTCCTGTTTATTTTCTTTGATTAGGAAATATATTCTAAAAATCACTCTATGCTTTTGAGTTTAAAGCTGTCTCTACATTTAAGACCTCTCAGGAACCAGTTGTTAATGGTAGCCAATTACTGATAATTTAACTATCAGCTGTTACTATACTGGGAACTGATCTTTTAAGACAATTTGAATATGAGTTTTTAAAAATTAGAAGTCTAGCTGCCAAGTATGCTTCCATCTTACTTACACTGTACCAGTTCAAAGCTATATCTGCTGCTTCAAAAAAAGAAGATGTAAATTAGCAAAGTGACTCGTTGCACTGGTGACCACTAGAGGAGTGAGAATCTCTTAACCCTATCACGAGATTGGCATCTGGAATAATTGGTTTCTTTTGGTATTACTAATGTTTCTTTGTACCTAGTAATATTTCTTTCCTTGCTAATTTACTGAACGTCTCTTACACAAATCTGGCCATGGCAGTTTGTAGAAACACCATTTCAATATATTCTCTCTTACCACCTTTATCCAAACTTTTTTTTCCTCAAACACACAGATTCTCTTTGATCAACGCTCCTCCTTTGCAGACTTTCTAATCAAAATGTACTAGTTTTCCTACATAGTTTTTTCCTAGAGCCGTACATAGTCTTTCATATGCCTGTCTGTCAGGATGTGATGGAAATTTAGCTGTGATTAAATGCTTCTTCATCTTTATAATTTAGATTATTTGAGTTAGCATACAAACATTTCAATGAATTCTCATTTATTACATTGCATTTCCTATTCAAAATAACCACAGTCCTCCTAATTACAATATGCTATGCCTGTGTTCTGTTCATATCAACAATTGTACACTATGTACATGTTATTTCTGAAACTGCTTTAACCACATCCAATTTTAGATAGTTTAATTTATGAAGACATGAAGGAAGCACATCGATCACCACCACATGAGACAATTGTTAGAACCAGTAAACCTAATAAGAACTCTCCAAGGTGCTCCTCAGTGCACAGGAATGGACATATAAGACCTTTAGAGTTCAAGCCACTGCAGTAACAGCTGCTTAGGTGAGAATCATCTTGTCTGCTATGTCAAACATTTCACCCTCTAAAGCAGTTCTTTAAGCAAGCCATGCTCAGCATAGGCTATTGCAGGACCAACTGGGACAACTCTACACTTCTATGCAACAATCATATATTGAATCATAATGAAATTTGTGCTCATTAAATGTTTTAGAATAACTGTGTTGAAAAGAGCTTTGCAATAACTAAATTTCAGTGTTTTTAATCTTCTGAAGCCAACTTCTAGGGCCATACCTGCTCAAGGCCTGAGACTTCATCAGGCAGCAGTACCCACATACTCATTGTTCCACTGGCAAATGGAAGCTCCAGGATCTTCATTTTCTCAGAAGGCACTGATGCCACTTTAAATAAACCAATCTGGTGCATCATCTGCACAGGTTTGCTTTCTTGCTGGAAAACCAAGAAAAAAAAAGAGAGAGAGAATATAGTTTTAACAAAGATTGTTCTTAGATTGCAGAAATGTCTAGTTATGGTTAAGATAACTGATTGCTCTCATTCAGGAAGACTTTCCTAGGAAAAGTGGGAATCTCAAGTTATTTCTCAGGAGCTTTGCAGTGTCAGCAATAGTGTGAAGAGAGAGACGTAAAGAAAATTCCCTGGTTTTAACATAGTGTCTGAAAGAGATGCCGGCAAATGAGCAGATACGCTAATGCAGTGTTTATATAACAGCAGGTCTACACTCTTCATAAAATTCTAGATTACATCTTTAAGGTATGCCCATATACCTCAGTCACTCTGAAGGGTATTGCTTGTGTGTCTTCTTCCTTAAATGCTTTCTCCCACAGTCCTTTGAAGACAACGGCATTAACCAGGACCATTGCAGTTTGAGAATCCACGGAGCTTGGCTGAAGGACATTTTTGATCATTCCTTTAAGAATGAATAGGAAAAGAGAGTTGTATATCACATTGGCAAGCGCAAGGTAGATAGAGAGTGTACAAATTATGGAGAAGAGAATGTAGGGGCAAGGTTTGTTTTTGCAACTGTAATCTCGTTCTTCCAAGACTGATTTTCTTGCTTCTATTGTCAGTAACTCTTGTTTCTCTCTCTATAAAGAATCACAACAAAAGATAAAAGATGAAGAGATGTATGTGTTACAAAAAGACTAAACCTGTATATTTTGTGATAAGGGGAATAACCACTGAAATCTCTCTTATCCCAGAATGGTCTCCAACCCAAACAGCACCAAGGAACATAAATATTACTTGCTCCTAATCAAAGTGGAAATTTGACATCTATATAAAAAAATGTAACAAAAGAGGGAAACAGAATTTTACACTGTTTTCTTCAAAAACTTTGCTCCTGTTCATTCTGCAGTCCTCATCACAGAATCACAGAATTCTCATGCTTGTAGTATGCTCCTCACATAGTCCTGTCACACACATAGCTTACACACATAGATTACATGGCTTATTTTTTGCCTTCAGAATGTGACTCCACACCAGAGGTGTGGTTGTGGATGTTTTCATTTCAGTTAGAATTCACAATCTTTCATCTGTGTTTCAAACATGAGGGAAAGGAATGCTGTGAGGAGATAAGGACGTAGAAAAATTGAGGAACCACACGGAGAGGCATTAGGGCAAAAATCGAAACTGTGGTACCTCTTTCTATGCATTTTATCCCTCCAATTCCTTAACTCTGGTTTTCCATTGCCCTTTATCTGTTAAGATTTTTGAAGTGCCTAATGACTGTATGCCCTGCTTAACAGGCATACAACAACTCTGGGAAGCTTGAACACAAAGCACACTGGCTGAGCTATATTCAGGTTCTCATTATTAGAGTGAACCGATTGTCACTATGTACAAAGCATGTTCTAATGCTGTCCTTCTCATCAAGACTGGAAGTATTACATTCCTGCAAATCTCTTGTAAATAGTCATCTTAAAGGGAGGTGTCTGAAGGGAATAAAAAAACATTAATTGATAGATCAGTTCCCAGATATAGAACTGTTATCCAGGAGCAGCGACAAAAGGAGAGATTTTGTATTTTCCTCTTGTGAATTAAGCGTTCTTTTAGGCTGGTCAAATATGGTGACAGAAGAGAAAATATGGTGGCTTGCCATTACCATTTGTCTGACTTTCTACCCAGGAATTGATGAGCCCTCTGGCTTGATCTGCAGCTGTTTGAAAGTTGATAGATTCCACGTCTCCTCTATACAGTTCCTTCACACATTTCAAGTATTCCTGAAAAGCAAGAGTATTCAGCTTTTAGATATGAATTTCAAAACATTTTGCAAATGTGAATTGCAAAACTGCAAGTAACAGATATAAATAATATAGTACTGTAAAATGCTAATTTACACTGCATTACTACATGCTATGTCTTACAGTGTATTTAGTAGTGTAATATGCTATAGCTGTATTGCTGTATTGTAAAATTTGACATTCTTTTTGCAAGCCATGTATTCTCTGAAGACTGTAGAGGTTCAGGGCTGTGTTAGAGAAAAGTTTTGTCCTCTCTTCCATAAGCAAAAACAACAGAAAAAGAAATTTTTTTAGTGGAACATAGACCACTGACCGTTTTTGCATTACAGAATTACCATTTGGCATGGGAATACACTCAGATCGGATTTTGAAGCAACTTACCGGCACGATTGAGTATTTCTCATCAGCATAAAGTCTACTGGCAAGGCTGAATGAATAAGCATCATTTGGTTTGGTGATTTGGTTGAGAATGTCTCTAAGTGAAGAGTGGACTTGTGGATCTGCAGATGTGCCACACTGAATACAAAGAGAAAGAAAGATGATGTTATTCTAGTTTTATTACTTACTTGGTTTTACGTAGTGTATGAACAGAGTAAAGTAGTTAGATATTGTATGTCCTGCCTTACTGCTGGTAACTACACTGATGTGGTCCGTTTCATATATATACAATTTTGTGCTTTTTTTCTTCTGGTCCCTCATACTTTTCTCTAGGGAACTCCTAACTACCTGCTGCAATGATCTAGCTCCAGCAGATCAGGCAGGCTTTCCTTCTTTTCCAACCCAACCCATTTATCCAGAATCATCTAGCTGTCTTGCTTAAGCATACAAATATCCACAAGTTTCCTCATTCACCTAGTATTTTTGTCCTGAGTTTCATCTTCTGTTTGTTCTGAATCCCCTGTTACCTCCATTTTTCCTCTGTTCTTATGTACAAAGTGTTCTCCCAACTGCTGGATGCAAAGCACTAGCTGCTTATCAGAGAGGGCTTGGAACTGCTAAGAGATCGCTTCGTCTGCTGGATTTTGCTTCCAGAGGAAAGGGACATAGGGAAGGAAGAGAAATTATTTCTGTACCTGAGCTTCAATACTGTCTCCAAATCCTGGAAGTTTATCAAAGCGAACAACCTGTAATTGAGAATAATAGTAGCTGAAATAACAGTTAGAACAAAAAGAAGTTATGCAATCCAGTTTCAAGATTTCTGGCTAGTGCATTTGTGAAACACTTTGGGATTGGAAGTGGCCACAGTTTTAGATAACTCTGGTCCCAGATTTTCAGCCTCTGAGCTATGCAGTTTCCAAGGGACATTATCATATAATTAAGTGCTATGGCTCCATTGAGCAGGACAAAGGTTTTAACGTTTAACTATAGGCTCACCTTATTTATCTGGGCCCTGGTGCTGTCTTTTGCACCTAGGTAGATCATGGCCAAAGCTGAAAACATGGTGAAGGGGGCGTAGAAGTAGTTCTCGTTGGCATGATGGACTTTGAGCTCCTTTAATACATCAAAACAGAATTCCATGCTTACTGCACCAATGGAGCCCATGGTGAATTCTGAGTTGTCTAGAGCAAAGAGCAGAATAATGAAAACGTAAGGATGGAATGCTGTACATAGTGCCATGCAGGGTACTCTATAGTAGGTTACAGCTGTAAAATATGAGCAGTTTTTAGGCAATTAAATGTAAGCAAGTAGTTTTAAAGTAATTCTATGGTATTGTGTCTGTTGCTATACCCACCTCTCATGGATGTTCAAAACCATATTCATAAATTTATTTCTTTATGCATTTGCATTCAGTTCCTTTTGGGTAGCAAACTGTCTCAGAAGCCTTAGATATATGTGTGATTTCTGTTTACCATTTAAAAGCAGCCAAACAACAGTTGTCTCTCCATATTTTCAATCAGTGAAAGCTAGAATTCATTTCAGTACCTCTGATCAAAACAAGAAAATACAATCCGATAGGCTTGCAAAGCTGGAAACTCAAAGAGCAAACTTCAGTAGACTTACTCCGGGTTTGGACAGATATATAAGAAAGCAGAAGCTTGCTGACTGTTTTTATTTCTCATTTTATTTCCTAAAAATAAGTAACTGCAGAAAAATATCTTTCATTGCACACTACTTAATATCAAAAATAGATCTTCAAAAGTATTTTTACCTTTGTTTTAATGATGGAAGAATAGATATGGAATGTAATTTGTATGAGGTCATGTAATCTAGGGAAAAGACATGCATGCAGTTCATATTCTGCCCTATTGCACTTTTAGGTATGGCTTGCTTTCCTCAAAGATATGTATGTGTGCTGTAGTATAAACTTTCTGAGGAGTTAAATTTTATGGGTGACATTCAGACAGAAGAGAAATGCAGATATGATAAAATAGCAATGTCTACTATGAAACAGAACTGTTGAATGAATTCTTGTTCATGGCATAGAGCAATAGAAGCTTTATACTTGTTCTGTCTGTTTCTGTTATTAAGAGCTGAACTGTACAAGTTCTGTATAGCCAGTGTGCTTATATAAAGCACAGCTTTTGGGATCAGCATGAATCTAGTTGCTTTCCTGTGATTTATATAACCTGTGAAAGTCAGAAGTGCCCTCTCTGCTCTCTGTGCACTCTGTAGGACTAGAGGTTAATCAAGCAAACTGCAAAGAATATCAGGTAGTGAATGACAGGATAAGATGTTCTGAAATTCAAAACATATTTTAAGCATAAAGAATAAGCCTCCTGAAAACAAACGCACAGCTTTTACACATAATAAAATAGTACAGAATGCAAACATAAGTGAGAAATTTATATAGGGGGTATCATGCAGGTACTTCACCCCTAAAGATACAATACATAACACAATAATTGTTGTTTTTTTTTAAGTTTAGGCACAAGCAATAACTAATATAGAGAGAAAGTAATTCTAGAGAGTTGCTTACCTTTTGAGCTTGAGCACTAAAGGCAATACAGCTTTCCAGCTGTATGTACAGAGACTGGCTGAGCCCTGGGGAATATATAGCCTGAATTGGGACCCACCCACAGGTTCCCTTTAGAAATTTGACCTTTGATGCCATAGAAATCATTTAATGGGATTGGGTCAGATTTTATTTTCCAAACATCCATTTTGGATTGAAGGGAAGAGCAAATATTAGTTTTTAATTCTGGGTTAACAAAGTGTTTTCTGCCAGTTCTGCTAATCTGTCAGGACTGTTGGATGGAAGAGAAGACTGGGAAATATTGCTCATGTTCTGCCAAGCTTCAGTTACAACCAGATAACAGGATCTTAAAGAAAACAGAAAAATGTGGGATCCTTAGAGATGGAAAATATAATTAGCAATTATTAGTTAGTCTGTTTATTACTGTAGTTGTAGTAACAGACTTGAAGTCTGTTTCAGTTGATTCTTCTTGTATGTACAACATGCATCTGAGCCATGCTAGACAGGAGATAAGTGCGAACAAGACTTACCTATTATTTTCTTTACAAAATAGAGGAAATAAAGAAACATGCACATGAAGAAACCAATTGAGATGAGAGTGAAGAGCAGACACAAACTTTCTATAGTTTGAATATTTAAACACATCTTTTGATGGATGTAAATGCTTTATAACAAACTTTTATTCGGGGGGAACTGCAAAACATAGCTCCATAGAAAGCAAAATAATAATTCCAAATGCGTTTATGGTATGAACTTGCGATGTTCCTCAAAGATCTTCCATGAATAACTTAATGGCCTGGCAGATGACAAAGGAATTGTGAAATTCAGCTGGAGGAGTGTTCATGGTTCGAGGGACAATCATAATATACAATAGCAAATATATTTCAGTTATAGAAGCTATTGTTCTGTATTGAAATAATAGAATTGACAAACAGTAAAGAAAGCATTCTGACCTCTATAAAGCACTGTTTGATTTAAAAATAGGGGAAAAAAAGTACAACATAATTCTTCAGGACATACATAGAGATCGCTGCAATCTTTGTTAAGCAAAAGAATTACTTTCATATACCACTAGTTAAAGTTTGGTCAGTGCCATTTTCTTTTTGTTTCTCTCCTTCCTTTTGTGAAAATAAATATACTGTAGAAATCTACATTCTCCTTGCCGAGTCTGAGGACTTGAGCAAGACGAGATGGTAGTGCAAATGATATTTTTTTGCTGGATGTCTACACCGCAGCTGATTTTTTTTGTTTCATTTTGTTTTTAATCACATCTGCTGCTTCTATTTCAGACATTCTTTCTGTCTGAAAATTTTGCCTGCTTTTTGTGATGATTGATGTGCTTCTCAGTAAATGTTATTTCTACCTATGAGATACATATATTAGTCTGCTGAAGGAGAAAGGAGATGGGGAATAAATCTTCTCAGATGCACTTTTCCATCATCTGGTGTCAATCAAACACTAATAATTTGTGTATAGATACTGTATATATATAATTGGAATTTGCAGGGTGACACAGTTCAGGTAGTCCTGTCACACTGCAATTTCCTGGTGAAATAACAAGGAAAAGAGAGAGCATTTTGGCTCTTACTAAGGCAGGGAACTGCTTACCAGATAGGGAGGTTCTGGAGGTAACATCCAGCATGAAAATTACACTTCCACGTACTTGAAGGTATCAAGTCTGACTTGTCAGACAGGATCCAGAGTAACTTCTGTCTTAATGCTATGGAAAAGGGGGAAGGTATCCACCATGGCCAAAATTGTCAGCGATTTTGTCTTAGCAAAGAGCAGATATGGTCAGTAAGGACAAGGTTTTTCCAAAGCAACCATGCCATATATAATTAAGCATGTATAATTAATCAGTAAAAATATAATTTAGTGTATTTCCTCCTTTGGATGTTATGAAGAAATGTTAACAATTCACCATAATCTGTCCTAAGAGTAGTGAACAGGCTGTTTCTCACTCAGTGGTTGGGTGTACCAGTGAGCCAGAGCACTGGCTGCCACATTCCCTCTTTTGTATCCCATTGCAGAGAGGGTCTCCATTTCATTTCTGTAGCTCAGAAGGTTGTAGTAGATTTACGCTTCAAGTTATGGTAGTGAAGGTCTCCAGGTCTTCTGGACCACATACCTGTAAGACCTGAGTCATGTGTCCAGCTTTTCACTAATGTCATGTACTTTAAGAGCTAAAAAATAGCAAAGAAATTAATGCAGTTATGTCAGTTATCACTGTCATACTATCGTGCTGCAAATATAGGATAAGAATGATCCCAAATGTTTTTTTTAAAGCTGCTCTTTCTGACTTTCACATAGTGTCCTGATTCCAGACCTACAGAACAGTTTTGTATGCATTTGACTTGCAGAGCTTTGTTTTGTGAGTCTTATAAAAGCCATTTTTTTCTTTCCAAGAAGTAGTCTGTGGTTTAAAACAATGAACATAAGGTGTGGAGAATGAGAATTTCTGCTTCTCTGTCAGATACAAAAGATATGCTACTCTTTTTCAGTGGAAGGCCATGAGCAAATGGTATCTTGATTAGAACAGGCTGTCAGCATAGCGTTGTCAGCGTACCTGCAAGGTTGGTTTGACTTGGGTTCTATAGAGAGTAAGTAGCAACCTTCTTGCAGTTGGAAGGCTACCTGGGATAGGCGGCAATGGATTGCCCTGCCCAGCACAGCTGTGCAAAGCAGTACAAATAGTTTTGTCACAGGTTGTTTAACAATGCTTGTCCCAAGAAAAGGTCAGCTAGGGCTCTGCTGCCCTTTCCTCGGCCAGGCATTTCATTGTGGACCTGTCCCTAAACCAAAAGTCTCGGAGACCTGAAAGTAATAAAAGCACTTTTATCCAAAAGGATAGGAAGTCCAGGTGAGCTCACAGGTCAAAGCTTCTTATCCAATCACTAAAACCTACTCAGAACTTGAGATTTTGTTCTCTTTGCTACTACAGTTTTGACATTAGGAAGGAGAACATTAATTGTTCTCTGCTTGTCTTTGTTGCACATTGTGAGTGTGGAAGTTACCTTTTCATGAGGGAAAGAAGCAACCATTCATGGAGAGAGAAATCATTTTGCTCAGGTTACAGATGAATGTCTAATGGGTTGCCATTGCATACCTTGGTGCTGTCACCATCAATGATGGTTCCTCTCTCATCTGTTTTGTGGGGTTGTGCTGTTTCCCCTCTTTGAAGAAAATCGTGTAACTTGTCAAGCTCCTTTGGATGTGAGTTCATAGTCCATCTGGCATCTTTCTGCAGCAGTGCTGTGCCATTCTGAAGAGACTAATACTGTTGCCTGCTGTGCTGCCTTGGTTTTTGACACACTATGACAAGACTGTGAAAAACTATTTGTCTTTGCTCTTAATTCTCATTAGGATATCTCTTATCAGACCTCGCAGTCATTTTAATTTGATTTAGCCTTCACTGTGCAGTCAATGATTTCTTAGAGCTTCCTGTAGATATTTGATCTGACATTGGTGTCGTTTTCATGGCATGACATTCAATGATTACATCTTACTGACTAGCAAAAGGTTGGGTGGGAGAATTTTCCCCAAAATCTGACAGACTTCCTCATTGTTACAGAATGAGTTGTAGCCTCACCTACATGCAAACCCTTTCACTTAGGAAAATAATAAAGCCTATTTAGGAGAAAGAACAAAACAATGTCCAAAGAATAGTCAGAGTGGTTGAGGAAGGTTTCTGATCTGAAAAAAAGGACACATTTTCAGAAAGGGGAAGGAAGAGAACCCAAGAGATTACAGTTCTCTGTAGTTATTGAAAAGTGCATTTGTTCACTATGATCCTTGTAAGAAAGGCACTTAGATCTATTGCTTAGTATACTGTTTATTGTAACTAACATAAAGAGAGAGTATCAGTAATCTTACATTCCCTTGGGGAACCCCAAGCTGTTCAGTATTGGACAGACCTCCAATCAAGGCCAATCAAGGCATGATATGTGATGCAAGTCTCATTCATAGAGCTAGAAGTTCACTGACAATTTGTTCTTCAGAGGTCTTGCAGAATTTTCTTAGGAAAAAACCAATTCTGTTCATTTCTGCTGTCAAACAAAAGGATATTTGAATGAAAACATGATGCTTCACTTCAGAGTACAGGTGAGGATACAGGTGGTACAATCACCATGCCAAGTGGGAGCTGCCTACAGGCCGCTGCCTTCCAATAGGAACGCAGGGATTATCCTGCTGTTCAGGCATATGTGCCATGCAGAACAGGACTGGAACCCAAACTCTATACTTGGCATAGCACAGGCCCTCTTTCTCATGCCAACTATTATGTAGATCACTAACTGATGTACAACTAATTGTATTCCAGTGAAGACTGCTACAGAAGGCTCTGATACAAGGCTCCTTGGGTGTCTCAAGGCATATGAGGGAATATAAGGTGATAGGAAAAGACAGCATGGATTTATCAAGGACAGATCTCTGCTGACCACCATTTTCATCTTCCATAATGAAATGGCTTATTCTAGAAAGAAAGGCAAAGCAGAGAATATCATATGCCTTGACTTTATTAAGGCCTTTAATATGATCTCCCAAATTATTCTTGTAACAAGATGGGAGAGATGTAGACTGAGTCAGCAGACAATAATGCGGGTAGAAAATTAGCTAGATGCCAATAGCTCTCCTTCTGCACTGACCATAGGGTCTGCAGGATTGTTTCTCTCTCCATTTTCTCACTCTTGTCTCCCAGCTGCTGCTGCAGTTTTCCTCTTTCTTCAGTCTGCTCTTACAGAGGTGCAAACAGTCTCACTCATGGCTTAACTCCGGCCAGCGGCAGGTCCTTTTGGGAGCTGTCTAAAACTGGCTTTCATCTGCCATATGGAAGCTTCTTTTCATAAAACTACCCTTGCGGCTTAGCACTACCAAAAACTTGCTGACCAGGTGGGACCATAGAGACAGGGCAGGGCTGAAGTCAAGCTGGGAAGCAAGTCTGCAAGCTGAAATCAGCAGGCCCAATATCTGTGCAGGACAGGGCTGTGGGGAGGTGGATCCTGGCCTCACTCCAGCAGGAGTTGATGATTCCAGCAGGCTGAACTGTGGTCCTGGGTATGAGATACATCATGGGAAGTCAGTGCCCTCAGAGCTCAGAAGCAGCCTCCCATCCTTCTGAGCAAAGTGCATCCTTCCTCCTTACAGAGACCTGGGCTCAGGAGAGGCTTTACTTTAGAGAGAAGCAGTGGTTGTGGATGGTAGTGCGTTACTTTAAAGCCAAGGCATGTAGAGAAGACAAGAAAGGAACATGGCACAAGTGGCCCTGACCTGAGTAAGGCAGAGGAGAGCCTGGCTGGGTGGAAAGGAGCTTAATCTGGACCCTGGGCTGAGTAAAAGGTGAGTACTGTCCAGAGATCAGAACCCAGAGCAAGGCCAATCCTAAGGAAGTTCGGTAGAGCCTGGGTTCTGGGTGGCGAGAGACTGGGCTCCTTAGGGATTTGCACAGCTGCAAACAAGAGTCCAAATCATAAGGCAGTATCATACCACAGGGCACATCCATAGTCAAACCAAGAAATCATTTCTTAGGTCAAGATTAGGTTCAGGTCTAGCAATCACCCAGCAGGTCCTTAGCAGCAAGGCACAGCCCAGGTCACAGTAGGAATTCTTGGCCAGGTATGGACACAGCTGTGTTTGAACTGGAGACTAGTACACACCATGCTAGTACATCTAACAGGAAAGAAGTAAAGGTTCAGGGCAGAGCTTAAATAGAGGATCTGGGTCCATAGGGCTGGGTAAAGGCTTCAGGTGCAGTTGGTAATGGCACTTAAAGCAAAGCACGTGGGGCTTTGTTATCTACTTAGGAGCAGAATAGGTGGTACTGGAGATTCACTAGAAGTTTGGGTCTGAGGTCAATTGTGAGTGAGCCTGGAGAGAGACACACATGCAGCATTCCTTAGGGAGGGGCCAAAAGACTAAGGTTCAGCTGAGCTGAGCTTCTGTTGTAGGTAACAGTCTTGACTTGGGAAGTGTTATGTAATTCGTTGCTGATTAACATAAAAACTGCTGATTGACAAAAAAACAATGCAGCAAACTATGGAATAGACCCTTAAATCTTTAATCCCCCTTTTCCCTAGTCAGTTTCAGTTCATCGCTTCTCCTTCCCTTCCTCCTAGTTTCAGTTTCCTTGTTGCACTCTCTTCTTCCCAGTCCTTTCAGTGATGCAGTAGGCAGTGTAATAGCCTGGGGTCAGTGTATAATCTATATAAATGTTTCTGTCTGCCAGTGGTCGCTGCTTACTAGATTCCTCTGCTCTAGTGTGCTCCCTGGCCTGCAGTTCTTCAGGGCTGTCCCTACTCCAGTGTTAGCTTCCTGCAGAATGCAGTCCCACCAGGATGACTCTGGCCTTTGTTGGTTGCCCATGGCTGCAGTGCCTTAGACATATGTCTTCTGGCATGGAGCACCTCCTCCCCAGAGTGTGTCTTTGTCTGTGCTCCAACATCTACTTCCAAATATCTCTTCTGTTTTGTTTCTCCAAACATACCTCTCATATGTCCCCCTTTTTGTGTTTCTAAAGTCTTTATTTTTTGGGTCTACTTGCATGTCCTCTGTCCCTAGCAGCTACTACCTTTTCTTAATTACATTTGCTACATTGCAGTGCTGCTACACTTTCTAATTAAATTTGGCCTTAAGATGTGCCAGGGTAAGCTTAGGTTGGATATCAGGAAAAAATTCTTTACAGAAAGGATTGTTAAGCACTGGACTGGGCTCCCCAGGGAGGTGGCTGAGTCATCATCTCTGGATGTGTTTAAAAACTGTTTGGATGTGGTGCTCAGGGACATGATTTAGTGGAGGGTTGTTAGGTTATGTGGTTGGACTCAATGATCTTTAAGGTCTTTCCCAACCTGAGCGATTCTATGATTTTATGATTCTGTGTTTGAGCAGAGATGCAATGTGCTTTTCTTACTCGCTGAAAATCTGGTGCATAGTGAGTTGTTTTATCCGCTATAGAGACACCTGCAGCTGACCCAGGACAGTTCAGGGCTTTGTCTATCAAAGATCACCCCCGATACCCAAACTGTGCCAATTTTCAGTAGAGACTCCTGGGCCCATGAGAACAACGTATATGGGAGAGCTCCTGTAGCAAGGCTTGTTGGTACTGTTAAGGCTTACTGTTGCCCTCAGAGTTCTAACACTATTTCCTGTTCCATGACTTCTATAGCTAATTTTATTTTCTATATATTTATTATTTGTCAGTGGATATCTCTTCCACAGTTTTGTCCAGTTTCCTTTTAAAAACATGTAAGATTTTAGATTTTTAAGTTTAGATTTTAGATCATGAGCCTCAGGAAACACCAAAGTGAACTACTGCTCCATGTCCAATCAATATTTCATAGAATCATAAAGGTTGGAAAAAAACAACAAAGTCTAGTTCAACATGCTGTGCTTTCCCAGGTAACTTTTGAGAGCCCAGAGTAGCTCTGAACCAGGATATTCTCTTGAGTGCTCTTCCTCTGGTGACTATGACAGCACATGCAGTCTTGTAACTTCAGCCATAGATTTGGTTTGCCTGGAAGAAGGTAGTCAAACATGCAGAGAAGTGCAGAATAGACACAGATGGTCTCCAAATGATTCTGTGATGGTTTCTTCTACAAATGATGTCAGAAAGAAAGGTACACTTAGTTCAGAGAGCATTTTTCATGAGGCATTCAAAAGAGTGCGATTGCACCTGGCTGTTTTCATTCCATGGACCACTAGCAGTGCTGCATCTCTAAAAACACAGCACTGAGAGGATATGAGGTGTAGTGAACAAACAGAAGGCAATGTCTTGACATAACAACTTCAGTCATGGTATCAGGGAACTAAAAGGACTGTTGGACAATACCTGGATTTGGGATTCATTTCTCTTATCCCATGATAGGCATCAGAGCCCAGAGGCACTTTTGTAGTGCCCTCTTCTTTCTGAAAGCTGATAAACATCACCTTTTATCCCTAGTGACGCCTGATGGCCTTTTTAAAACTAGTCAAATGCTTCCATTTCACAGTTAAGACATTAGGTGGACTCTGTGCCTTTAATACGCCCTTCTGTATAGTTTTTGGAATTAATTTATCATTTCTGCCTTGATTTTCTTCATCTTTTGCTTTGAAAAGATCAAAGAATTGAATAGCTGCTTTTTTTAGTTCACACTATATGTTAAATACCTTCATAGCAAATGTGGATACTTTTATTGTTACTGTACCTAGAAAGTGCAGAGTGACATACCTGCGTATTTCAGTTCCATAACATGATAACTGCTTAGTAACCTTACATGCTCTGCTGCTCAGGACAATATTTTACCAATCCTGCCTTTTTTCCTTTGCCGTTTGTTAGTTTGTTTGGTTTTAGTTGTAGCAAAACTGTACTGACTGCTTTCAACTATGAGGGAAATAACATAATGTACGCAGTAAAACTTGAAATTTCATAGCTCTTGAAATACTTTTTTTTGCTTGAATCCCTGTGCAAACTGTAGCTAATCCTTTCTGATCCTCTTGGGAAGACCAGTAATCGCATTTCTCCCATTTGCAATGGATATGAAATGTGTTTCACTCCCGCTAACGTCATCATTTCAAGTTATAGTTAATGCTGACATGGCACATGTTTCAGGCAGCTCTGAAGTACTGAAGTATCAGTAATTTGCAATTCTGCATGTGTATCCCAGCAGAAAACTCTGTTATTAACACTGTAACCATTATAATTGGATAAAATATAACCTAAAGAGCCTTTCCTCTAAAGACTGTGAAATAGCAGATAACGTCTCTAGAGGAATATCACATTAGGCAAGAGAAAGATTTCTTCATGTGATTCTTGTCAACATGAGAAAGCTGAAGCAGTCTACCTTTTAATACTTCTCTCATATTTTTAAAAGTCTATCTTGTATGCATCACCTTGATGTATTTACTGAGGACCCTTAGAGGATTTCTGTAAAAGTTCTCTGGAAATACAGTAAATTCAAAGAATTTTGTTATTTGATATGCTGTATTGGGAGAAGCTCAATTTAAGAATAGGAGCTATAGGGTTTAGCCTTGATTAAACCAAGTTAAAAAAAAAAATCTTAAAATATTTAGTGATCTCATATATGGGTACCTTCTGGTTTTGAAAATAGGATCCACGTACCAACTTAATCACTTCTGTCAGTAATTATTACCCACTATATCATATTTTTCAGGTTGTGTAATACAGTAACCCAGAATAGACAATGACATGTTTTGTTTGCAAAGCTTTTATTAGAATAAATAGAAAGACCATTAATTAACATTCACAAAATCATTAATATATCACTGGGATGAAAATGGAAAATAATATCAATCAGGAAGATGTTTCGTTTGGAGATGATTTAAGAAGAAATGGTAGACTTTCTGTATGCTGCCTCAGAAAAAAAAGTTACGCAGCCTTGAAGTATTTGCAGCACAAATAAGTCCAAATGGATCACTGGAAGACAAATGGTCTGTTGAAGTTAAAAATTTCATCTGCAAATTGTCCAGGCATGACAAGGATGATTGCCAAGGATGATTGCCCAGCCAATTCAATGGAAAGGACCAGGATTTTCCTGAAAGCTGTGTTTATTTCAGAGAACTCTAATAGAGAAACCAGATTCTCAATAGCAATGGCAGGATTTCACACACACACACAAAAAAAACAAAGCACTGGCCATTTCCCAAGTTATTCAAGCGCACTGGGAACATTTACACCTTGGATATGAATCCTGAATGTAAGCTGAGAATAAATTCCTGCACATAAAGATCTGAAATTTCACATGCTTCTTCAAGAATATCTCCTTAGATATTGAAGGTTTTCCACTTGGATAAAATATTGCATTGAGATTATGCTACAATACTACAGTAAAGAGGTTTGATTTCTGAGGGGAAGGTAAGCATTATTTCAGCTCTTTCTCTCTTTAGGGGGACCAACATCTACCAAAGAGCAAAATAACTTTGGTTGGATTGAATCTGATCAAGAAGAGGAATGGGTGGTCAGCCCTAAACTCTTCTAACTCAAAGGAATGCTTGATGTTTCCAATTGCCCCCATTGAACCTGCCGCCTCAGTGCCCTCTTCATTGACTTCCATGAATGTCCCATGGACAGCATCAGATATCATCAGGTTATCTACTGAAGAGATGCCAGTCAGATTGGCTGAACGTCTGAACAGGTCAGTCATTCCCAAGGCCATTAATATAGATGTGAGGTTATATTTTTCCTCAATCTTCATGCGGGGCAGGTACACTTTCATGCTTTTCTTTTCCATTGCATTGGTACTAGTCCACTCTCTGAGTTTTTCAAAGTTAATTGTCTTCTCAATCTGCAAAGAAAGGGAGAGAATGAAATACATAAGGCAAGAATACAGTGGCCATAACAAGTGTATTAGTACAATTTGTTACTATTTTTTTCATTTATTTGTGTGCACAACAGAAGTGACACGAGCTTAAATCTATTTGTTTATCCTTTATGCTTCCTCCTGACTATAGCCTATATATCATCTGTCTTGATGAAGTTCTCCAAAACTTTGTCATCTGAAAATTTTTCCAACAGATCAAATGCTCTTCTGAAAAATCAGTTTTTGATGATGTCAAATCAAATTTGTGCTCATTAGCAGATGTTTGCAGCTAACCTTTCAGAAATGCTGTTCGTTTTCTGTACTTGTTATATTTTTCCTATTTCTACATTCAATGAAAAAAGATCTTTTAAAATATCCCTCACATTTACCAAAAAAAAAAAACAATTTCAAATTTAAGTATTTGTAGGGGTGACTCTTGTGAAAAAAATCTATTAATGGTCATCAACAGAATAATTGGTCCCTATGATTTGATAATACTGTTTGAACTCTACTTGATCTCTGGAAATTGAAATGTCTTCAAAGGAAAAAAAAAATCCTGCTAACATATCTGTCTCTAGTACCTGATGGAGATAACTGCATATACCAACATCCCCTCCTGCAGGACTGCAGCAGCCCTAGGCTCCTTTACTTTTGTTTTGTTAGCTACATTCTTTATTTAATAACACCTAGGCCAGGGCTCTCCTTAGACGCCAGCCTCTGCCAGAGCACCAGGAGGCACCTGGGCCACTGTTGTGCTCCCCTGCCTGGCCAGCACAGCACAGCCAGGGGGTGAGAGGACAGCCAAAGTCTGAAGGCATCCAGCTCCCACTGAGCTCAGAACTAGTTGCCTTCCCCTGCCAGGGCCGTACCCGCTCCAGGCCAGAAACCTCATCAGGCAGCAGCACCAACATGCTCAGCTCTCCGCTGGCGTAGGGGAGCTCCAGGATCTTCATTTTCTCTGCAGGCAGCGTGGCCACATTAAAGGTGTCGTTCAGACACATCATTTGCACAGGTTTGCTTTCTTGCTGCAAAACAGAAGCACGAGACAATGGAGCAGGGGGCAATTTTTCTTGAATTTTTCCAGTTGCAGTGCCCATGTCCCTACCTTTGTCATTCTGAAGGGCATTTCCTGAGTGTCTTCTGTATTAAAAGCTGTCTTCCATATCCCTTTGAAGTAAATGGCGTTAAGAAAGACCATCATTGTACCAAAATCAATGGAGCTTGATACAAGCAAATCTTTGATCTGTCCTGTGAAAAGGAAGCAAAGCAGTGAGTGACAAGGCATAGCCTGTCTGGTTTGCATGAATGTCTGCAATGAAGGGCATGGTGAGTTTTGTGGGAGTTTGTTTTCATAGCAATAATCAAGTACTGTTCCTTGATCTGCCTTTTCTAGACATTTTGAGGAGAGGAAGACAAGAGTATAGATTATGGTCAGTAGGAGTAAATATCAGTTATTTTTTAGTTCTTACCATTTGTCTCTTTTTCCACCCAGGAGTTTATGAGCTGCCTTGCTTCTTCAGCAGCTGTTTTGAAGTTAACTTCTTCCACTCCTCCTGTATAGAACCTCTTTGCACACTTTAAGTATTCCTATAAGCAGAAGAATTGTGTTTGACTGTTAAGAAATTGAAAATAGAAGAATGTGAAATGCAAAATTAATGAAATAGAGAGTGGTGGTTAAAAGAAACTTCTATCCCTACACTTGAACAAGTCAAACAGTTCTCTTGCTGTAACTGAATCTTAAAGTTGGACAAGGCCACTTCACATATTTAGATTTGTCACTTTTGTCTTCAGACAGTATTCCAAGTTAAAATTTTGAAATAGTTTCTTCATTTTACCACAAAACCTTCTGTTCTGCAAACATTATTAAGGACAGACAATACTCATTTCCTCATCTTTGTGCCCACCTTTTCTTTTGAATTCTGTATTCTTACATTCCTCTTTCTTATTTCAAAACCAAAACTTTCTTGAAGTTTTTGAGATATTTTATGTCCAGCTTTAAAAAAAGATGAACAAAATATTTTTGTCAGTTTCAATCCTCACGCTTTCAAGTCATTTTCCTCCCTTACAAATCACCTTTTTCATTAAAATACATTTTTTTAGAGAATGAACTGCAATTTTGATTGCTCCCTGTAGCAATTGCTGCATGGGCATATATTACAGAGTCACAGAATCTCAGGGACTGGAAGGAATCTCTGGAGATCATCAATTTGAGCCCCTTGCAGGGATTCCCTACAGTAGGTTGCACAGGAAAGCATCCAGATGGGTCTTGAGTATCTCCAGAGCCCTTAAGCTATTGCCTGGCCTCCTCCAAAAAGCCACAGAAAGATTTGGACTCATTCTGTGGCCCAAACCAATTCCCACTGTGGCTCACAGTAGTGCTGAGTCCCAGGTGAGCCCAGTGGACAATCTCAGTAAGGTTAAGTCACACTTCAACTCACCGGAAGAACTGCAAATGTTTTGTCGACGTAGAGTTTGTGAGCAATCTCGAGTGAGTATGTAGCATTTGGCCTGGTGATTTCTGAGAGAAAGTCCTTGAACAAATTGTGGATGTATTCAGAAGAGCCACACTGAGGTGATGACAGGAAAACAAGATGATATGTCACATTAGCTTCTCCTTATCTACAAAATCAGACCCCAAAGGACTGTCCCCATCAGTAACAATCAGTGGAATCCACCCACAGACCTGGACTGATGATGGTGCATTGAGCAGACAAATAAACCTATCTCTGAATCAGTTTCCCTGGCTTTAAACAAGCATGAGTTAGATCCTCTTTTCCTCCCTCCACAGATCTGCTTGGTTTGAGAGCATTACCATCATTTTTGACAGTCTGAAACTGCTTGGAACAGAGGCAGAATAGTTCTAGTCTTGTCCTGAGGAGAAAATAGGAACAAAAGGAGAGAAGTTATATCTTTACCTGAGAGTCAGTGGTGCTTCCAGCTCCTGTAATGCTATCAAAATGAAGAGCCTGCAAGAGAAAATGCCAGTGAGAAAAAACCACAAACATGACCAAAAGTGTTATGCATTTAAAATTTACATGTTTGGAGTAGAGCTGTTGGCTCGAAAACAGAAACAGAAAAAAAAAAGCCCACAACAAATGCTAGATTAGATGAACTAAATGGCTGCAAGTGAGCTTGCAGCTGGTTCATACTTCATGTGACCTTCTGAGAAATTGGAAATAGCCCTATTTGCTTAGATTATATTTTTTTCAGTGAGCATCTGTAAGTTAACTTATTTGTGTATTATGCACTGCGAATAATGTTCTCTCTCTTCCTTTTTTCCAGGGTTTTATCTTTTTAATACAAAAATAAAAAATATGGAAAAAATAGATTATCTGGAAGATGTCAGAATTCAGAAAAAAATAATACAATTCCCTGACTCATGATCCATCCGATGAATGAAAACATGTGAGAGCCTCATGAGTAGATAACGTTATTACTTAGAAGGAATAACAAGCAGAACTAGAGTCCACTGTCCACTTTACACTAGTGTAAGTAACTTACCTTCTTCATCTGAGATTCAGTGTTACCTCTTGCCCCCAGATAGACCATGGCCAGGGCTATCATCATGCCCAGAGGGGAATACAAGATGTTCTCATTGACATGATGGACTTTCATCTCGTTGAAAACATCAAAACAAAATTTTGTACTTGTTACACTGATGGAATCCATTCTGAAATCGGTGTTGTCTAAAGCAAACATTAAAATATATTAGTTGTGTTGCAAGAAAGGCAGTGCACTTGAGCCTTTGTACACAGTGCACAGCTTATTTTCAGCAAGTAGAATTCAGTAGTGTGGATTTAAAAGGCAGGTGTGTTCTTGGATTTGTGAGCAATCAAAATCCTGTATAGTTATGTGTAGGCTGGTGACTGCTTTATTTGAAACTTGAGTTGTCCTCTGTGCATGTGTACTGTGTTGGAAATATTGCAAAGACTTGCCTTGAAAGAAGCTCATTGACAATCATTTCTCATCTCGTACAGAAAAGAAAATATACACAGGTTTGTTCTCAGTCTTCATTCATCTGAGACTCCAGACCATGTTCTTCACATAGTTTTTAATATCACTTTTAAGAGCATTTAATAGATCAGCCCTCTGTGATCTAAATTACAGTTACTGACAATATAAAGTCGGTAGGTCTGGAAAAATGCCACAAATTTTTACTGGATTTCATGTAAATGGAAGCTGGATTCTTACACCAACCACTTTATCAGAGGTCTCAAACCACATCATTACCTTCTTCTTAAAAATAGATTAGGGAAATGGAAGCACAGTGATAGAAAGAGATAATGATTTACCAAACTCATATGCTTTATGACAAATGTCTGTTAATTAGTACATGTTCCATTCTGGGTTGACTTAATCATACCTCGCTTTTCAAAAATTGTTCTTTAATTTTACTGGTGCCTTTTTCATAAAATCTACCTTTTAATAAAACAATAATTGCTTAGTCTTGTTTCGTTTGCAGATACTTCACATTTTCAGTATTTAAACATTTTTTCTGCCTTTTTTTCTGACATTCTTGTGAAATTTTCCCCTATAGTTTCAGCATGTAGCATTTTACCTAACAGTGAAGGAAAAAAAAATCTTTAATAAAGAATACAACATAGAATAGACAACAGTCTTATAAAGCCAAGTGCAGCAGTAAGGTGCTTATGCCATTTGTATCTTCCCATTTTGTCACAAGCAGAGAGAATCTTCCTAGGGCAGATCTTCCCAAGTACAGGGGAAATCCAAGATATTCTGCCAAATGTTTGATTGTGTGGAATCAGCACATTCATGTGTTCCATCTCTCTCTTAATTGAATCACATGTGTAGGTGATGCAAGGCAGACTTTTGGATTATTTACTACTTCCACAAAGTATTACATTTTAAGCTTTAAGCTCCATGTATGATCTTGTTAAAAAAACATATTATTGAAGCAAATGCTTTGTGCGTATGCGTGTGGGTTTTGTTCGTTTGTTTGCTTGCTTTAGAATACATAGAAATTAATTTGCAGTACGTTGTTGTCACCTGAGCGTGCTGCATTCATTAACTTCACTCAGAAAGCATGTTAGGTAAACCATGCAACTGAGCTTAAGTTACATCCTTTTGAATTTAAACGAATTCAGTGCTGTATTTAAGTTCTAAATCAGAAACAAAGGGGATCAAGTTAAAAGGAAGAAAGGCTGTCTTAGCACCAGCTTTTCAGTGTTAAAGAATTAGTAAATAAACAATGCTTTACTTCATACAAATACCTTGACTTCATACGTGGCAGGCTGTGAAACGGTACAGTAATGCAGAACACACGTGTGAAGGTGAGAATAGATTTTTAAAGAAGTCATTCTTTAATTGTTTGTTTCTTGGCTGTTCTTGATCACAAACCACAAATATGAAGTTCCATCAACATTTTATGATCATAACCAAAAGAAATGCTTACCTTATCAGCTTCACGTGTGATGATAAAGAGTACAGCTTCTCAGCTGTACGTGGTACAGCCTTGTAGAACTCCTTGAAATATATCCTGTGTAATGTCATGATACGCCCCAGGCTGCCTGTTCTGTGTTTACCAAACCAAATGATGGATGGAACTCAATGTCAGAAACAAACTTTTATTTGGTTGAAGTGCATTATTTACCAAAAAAAAAAAAAAAAAGAGGGAAAGAAAGAAAAAAGGAAGGAAAGAGGAAAGAAAGAAGGAGAGGAGAGGAGAGGAGAGGAGAGGAGAGGAGAGGATGAAAGAGGGAAAGAAATCCCTAAATGAAACTCCTGGAATGAAGGATATCATGAGGCACCTTGGAGAAAATGATGGATCATACTGAAAAGACTGAAACAAAAATATAAAAGCTGTTCATTGAAACTTGAATACTAAGTATGATTCGAGTACAGAAGCAAATAGTGTGGTATAGATAGTGGTATAGAAAACAAAGCAAAAAAATGTGTGATATTAAGTTACGCACAGTGTCTCTATGGAATTCTAAGTTAATTTTCCTTTTTTTTTTTCTCTGACAGTCCAGATCCCTCTAGCAGTCACCATTCTGAGAATATAAAAAATGCAGTACGTGCAGGACAGCTTGCTGTTCTATGCGCACCCCGTAATTACTGCAACTTTTCATAAATTCACAGAATCAAAGAATGATTTGAATTGGAAGGGACCCTTGAAGACTATCGAGTCCAACTCCACTGCAGTGAATAGGAACACCTACAGTGAAAACTTGTATGTAATTGTCTAGTTCTTGTGCCTGGTGCCACTTACAGCCTGAACTGCAAAAAATAAAGCATTTTGCAGAGCAGTCTAGCATTGCTAGAGCAGTCTAACTCAGAGAACTTGTGTGCCAACAGAGTCTGTGCAGATTGTCAGCAGAAAACTATCAGTAAGCATATTGTATAAGTACAAATTAATTTTGAAAGCAATATTCAGAGTGTCTGTATTTAAAAAAAAAATTACAGAACTGAAGAAAGCTGTATTGTGGCAAAAGAGGTTGAACAGAGAAGAGACTCTGTTGCTTTTTAAATTTGGATAATTTAGGATATTCAGACTCGAGCCACATGCTACAAGAAAAGTATTCGAACTCACTGCTACAGTTTTGAATGTTGTTTTGAGTTGTTCTTTTCAAACAGGTCACAGCATCAGACCTGAGTTTCAAAATGTGTCTTTTGTACATTCAAAGAACATTCATACAGATTGCCGACAAGTAACTTCATGGCACATCAGGTGAAACATTCATGGTCTGCAGGACAGTCATAATATACAATAGCAAGCATAAAACAATCTCATAAATCCTTTGAAATAAAAGAATGGGCAACAAACAAACTGCTTTGACCTCTGAGTATGCTGTGATTTTAAAACAGAACTCCAAAGTCAATAGACAAAATGCCTCTGAAGTTGTCTAGAACAAATTACACTTTCTGGAGAAAAGAGGTGGACTCCTTAACCCTTTTAGTTTCCTGTGCAAGTGGAAAGCCTCTGAATAGTCCATACCTTTCTGCCTAATAGAGTCCTCATTAGTCTTGTCCAGCTGAAGATGCTAGAGCAGTACTAATAACGAAGACCTCAGTCTGTCTGATACATTTAAGTACAACTAATATGTTACATGGTACCATCTATAACCCAGTCCAGTCTGGTACAGACATTGCTATGCAATAGCAATACTTCTGAGTAAGGATCACTAGGCCTTAACTCATATTGGTAGCCAATCACATCAAACCTATTATAACGGGAGTGAGCTATTCTCTTGCTTGAACAGTATTTAAATTACTCACCACTGTTGTGAGTTCCATGTTGCTGAAGATGATATCTGTGCTGGTAGAAAGATATATCAAGTGACTGAATGTGTCTGTTCATGGTGAATATCTTTAATCGCACAATTTAGAACACTCCCCAGTCTGCAAGATGTTTCTGTGGCTGCTGTCCCTTCTCCCTTTCTTGCTTAAGGCTGTTTTCTGTTCAAACAGGCTTTAGCACTCACTGCAATGGTCTGTTGTTGTATACTTGACAGCTTAAAAGTCAAAGGATTATCTGACAAGTTGTACTGTGTCACTTCTACCTTTTGAGCATGCCTTAAACCTTTTTACTATCAAACTGTCTAGCAGCATGCTACAGTTTGCTGTAGAAGAACCCCATGGGCATTTGTGTACCATCTGCCTGAATCATGTGTTTGGGTCATCACAGACAGCCTACAACTCAGGATCTACAGTTGTGTCATAACAGCGAATTTAGAGCACTAATGCTGTTAGTGATTATATGGCTTTCAAAATATCTCTGAGTTAAATATACGCAGTGCTGAGAGGAATATTTTTGTTTTGAGATAGAAAAGGGGCAGCAGATTCCTCCAGTAGAAGTTAATACACATCCCTGCTGTTGCTATTTGATTTTTTCCTTTTGTCGAATGAATGGTTAATCTAAAGCGAGTTGCAGAACTTAAAAATCAGTCCACAATAAGTGAAAATTTGGATCGTGGTCAGTCATCAGTGCAGAATCATCAGAATATTAGGGTTCTTGTATAGTCTACTTATCACGTTTAGATCTGTTGTGAAGTCAAGCAAGATTAGGCAAACCTTCCTGTAGGTGAAATGCTTTCTGGGATAGTGATGGATTATTCTGTCCAGCACAGCTGTGCAATGCTGCACAAACACAAAAGGATGTGTTGTTGTGACATGTCCTTTTTTTGACAATGCTTGTCCCAAGAAAGAGGTCAGCTAAGACTTAGCTGCTATTTGCTCTACCAGGTATTTCACTGTGGGCCTGGCCCTAAGCTAACAGGCTCTTTGACATCTGATCCTTTCCAAAAGAATATGAAGTCCAGGTCAGCTCATAGAACAAAGTATCTCATTCTATCACAAAAACATTTGCACAACTAGGGATTTTGTTCTCATTTATGTTTCCACTGTTTCTCTAGTAGCAACAAGCTTATTGATCATTTAGTGTTTGTCTTGCCCACAGCGATTGCCAGTGATTTCTTAGTTGCTGTTGCAGAACTTGATGCAATATCTATCAGTGGTGATTTCCCACTCAGTTGTTCTGTGGGGTTATGTTGCTTCCTTAGTCCAAAGTAAATCAGTGTCTGGTCAAGCTTTTTCAGACAGAAGCTCACAGTGTATCAGACACCTTTCTGCAGCAGTACTGTGCCATTCTGAAGAGACTGACATCATTGCCTGCAGTGCTGCCTTAGCCTGTCACAGGTGGTGACACAGGTGGTGACAGAGATGTATATCTCAGTGTTGACAGAGAGGATTACTCCAGTGATCATTCACTGGAGGCACATTCAGAAAAACCCTGTGAAGGCCTTGGCCACGAATATCTCACACATAGAACAGTAGTACATCTTGTCATAGAATCAAGAATATCCTTAGTTGGAAGGGATTCATAAGGATCATCAAGTCCAACTCCTAGTTCCAGACAGCAGCACCCAAAATCCAAACCCTACATCTGAGAGCATTTTCCAAATGTTCCTCGAACTCAGGCAGCTTGGGGCCATGCCCACTACCCTGGAGAGCATGTTCCAGAGCCTGATCACCCTCTTCCTAACCCCCAACCTGGCCCTCAGGTCACAGCTCTATGCCATTCCCTTGGGTCCTGTCACTGTCACCAGAAAGCAGAGCTCAGCTATCCCTCTACTCCCCTCATGCTGCAGCTGCCATGAGGCCTCCCCTCTGCTCCTCTGCTCTGGGCTGAGCAAACCCAGGGACCTCAGCTGATCCTCACACATCTTGCCCTCCAAACCCTTCACCGTCTTTGTAGTCCTTCTTTGGATGCTCTCTGGTATTTTTATGTCCTTCTTACATTGCATCACCCAACCCTGCACCCAGTGCTGGAGGTGCAGCTGCACAGCACAGAGCACAGTGGGACAACCCCTCCCCTTGCCTGGTGGCAGTTCTGGGCTTGGTGCATCCCTGGGTACAGTTGGCTGTTAAGGCTGCCAGAGCACACTGCTGGCTCAGATGCAGCTTGCTGTTAGCCAGAACCCCCCGATCCCTTTGGGCAGGACGGCTCTCAGTCTCTTGTCCTCCAGTCTATACACACAGCCAAGGCTGCCCCATCCCAGGTGCAGAATATGGCACCCACTCTTGTTAAACTTCATGCAGCTGGTGATTGCCGAGCTCTCTGATTTGTCAGGATCTCTCTGTAAGGCCTCTTTACCCACAAGAGAGTCAATGGCACTTTCCAATTTGTGTCATCCGTGAACTTGCTCGGTATGCCTTCAAGTCCTATATCCAAGTCATTGATGAAAACACTGAAGACAACTGGCCCTGAAATTGAGCCTGCCAGCCTGATGTAACCCCAGTATCTATAATCCTTTGTGCCCAACCTGTTACATTTGATCACCCATCACAACATTATGTTTTTGCTTTGGTCTATGCTGGACATTTTATCCTCCATGACGTACCCACTAAACCTTCTGTCAGTTGCTGCACAGTAGTCTGTCAAAGAAACAGGATCTTAATACTCCAGAAAATAAAAATGCCAACAGCCTTTGGCAGGCTAGGGCAAAAATGCGTGGAGCCACAGGAAGGTTTTAAAAATGTATTTATTTTATTCATCTTCCCACCAGGCCTGCCACCCCCTTCATGGAGAACACTTTTATCCTGCCCTTTGTATGTTCTGCCCCCTGCCTGGTAAGCGGTGGCCAGGGCTCAGCCATCAGTATTTTGTTGCAATTTTTGTTCAGTATTGCTGAATTTCCACTCTTTCCTGTCTCTCGTTTTCCTTTTTGAGAAAGCAGAAGCTTTATATTTGCTTGTAAGCAAGAAACCTTCACTTTTTTCCCCATTTCTCCATTTTGACCTCTCCTGTTTTTAAGATCATTGAGGCATATCTTTGTATTTCAAGCACTTTACAGTCTAATAATCATAGAAGGGTAGCTTGCAAATGTAATCTTTCCGAAGTCTTCATATTGTTTAAGTGAACTGGCTTTTAAATTTAGCAGACTGGATCAACTGCTTCTGAGTTAGCAGAGGGCTGTTAGAGTTGGGGTAGTATGGTTAGGTTGGATTTGATGATCTTTAAGGTCTTTTCCAATTCCTGAGCAATTCTATGATTCTATGATTCTATGGACAGAAGAGATGCAAAAGGTGAATAAACTACTGATGGTAAACCTTGAGATGCTGATATTTCTCTTATCTGGAACTGTTCTTACCATTACTTCCATTTCTAAAGGCAAAAAATAAAGCATACTCAGTAAAATATTTTTTTTTGCCATTGAAAAACAGCTGTGTCTGTATCATGAGTATCCTCATAATATACAAAAAATGTGGATGTCAGATCAGTAGCACCAGCTGTTTTTACTCTACAGCTCACCTTTTATCATTGACACTGAAGTGGTGACACTAATGTGGGAATAGGCAATGTTAACATCAGAGTTCCTCCTCTCGAGACTCTGGATAGGGAAGTGCTTTGCCTAGTAGCTGTTGATCTATTTAACCTTTTTTATGCCTTTCAAGTTATATGATTTTCAGATTATTTCATCATCTAAAATGATGAAATCATCTGGAGTTGGACTAGATGATCCCCTGAGGTTTCTTCCAGTCCATAATGAGTCTGTGATTCTATATAAAACAGTAAAAGTGTTAGAATAGTTGTTCCTTGAAAAATTTACCAGGAAAATGGCCAGGTCATCTTTTATACCTGTTGGAATGGCACAGAAAAATGCATAGGAATAACCTTGTATTCTATTGTGATACTTCTTGTCATCTAAATACAGAGAAGAATCAAACTGGTTGTAGGTCTTTGGTGAAGTTCTTGAAAACAGATACTCCTAAAAATGTCATAAATGCCTGAAAAACTTCATATCTGCATGCTTTATTCATTCTAAGAATACATTTTTTGTGCTAAATCACATTTTTCTCACAGTGAAACACATGAAAAGTGTTTGTGGTTTTTCTTTATTATTTTAACCAAAACAAAATCAATTGTATGCATGTAAATCAACAGTGAGTGATTAGAATGAAAACAGAATGTAATATTGAGCCAGTGGATCCATATTTGCAGTTGACAATCTATACATAGGAAGAGAAGACAGAAAAAATGAGGATTTTAATTTATTTCTTAGACGAAGTTTTTTACAACACTTTCAGGATTTTTCACTAAAAAGGTGTATTAGAATGTTCTCAAATTTGAAGTGTCTTCTAAACTTTTAAACAAAAATTTAGACAGTTCTTTTGCCCAGTGGATCTCACTGAATTCTGGATCATAAGAATCATCTGGATCTCCATGGAGAAAAGGGATAACTGCACTTATGCAAGACTAGATTTTTTTCCCTTCTCTGAAGTGGAAGGAAGACTCTGCAGTACTTTGAAGAACCTCTACAAGAAATTCACAATTAGGTGAGGAACTTATGGTGAGAGGACAACTCCAGTGATAGTGAACATGTATACCATTGCCCAATTACTGAATAAAAAAAAATAAAATTGACATAATCACAAATCAATAACCTGCACACCAGAAACTCTTCCACAAACACCCCCTCTAGACTGGAGATCTCAAAGCCCACGTTTCAAGAATGGTAACATGGGTTTGTCAGCAGTATGGTACCAGGGAATGGGATGAGCAAAGCTCGTTGCTTTCTATGTAATGGGCTCCCAAGGACTTAGGGTCATTCCTACTATTTATTTCTTGGGTGAAAATCACTTGTCGCCTTCATGGCTGATAGGCGTCTTCATTCTCACCATCTTGTTGGCTCAGTCTTTGCTCATATCAAGCCATTCTGAAACCAATACAAGAAGGGAAGGAGTAAGTGTTCTTGGTGCTGTCTCCTCTCCTGTGGGTATGTATTTTCTGTGGAAGAGATAAGATTATGCTATAACACTACGATAAAGGGATTTTCTGAGGGGAAGGCGTGTGTTATTTCTAGCTCTTTCTCTCTTTAGGGGGACCAGTATCTGCCAAAACAGACAATGGTGTTGGTTGTGTTGTGTTTGATGAAGAAGAGGAATGGGTGATCAGCCCTAAACTCTACTAATTCAGAGGAATGCTTGATGTCTTCTATCACCCCTGTGGAGCCTGCCACCTCAGTGCCCTCTTCACTGAGTTCCATGAAGGCCCCATGCACAGCCTGGGATATTTTCAAGCTCTCTGCTGAAGAAATGCCAGTCAGATTGGCTGAACGGCTGAACAGGTCGGTCATTCCCAAAGCCATTAAGACAGATGTGAGGTTATATTTTTCCTCAATCTTCATACGGGGCAGGTACACTTTCACTCTCCTCTTCTCCATAGTATTGGGATTGGTCCACTCTGTGAGTTTTTCAAAGCTAATTGTCTTCTCAATCTGAAAAAGAGAGGCATAGAATAAATTGCCTGTGATGAGAATGCAACTTCTTTCCATCGTTCATTTTAATCAAGACTATTATTTTAAAAAAATCAGAAAGTTTCCCGAGGTGCATCCTATCAACATCTTCCTATTTTACAACTTGTTTCTCTAGTATTTCCTCTGTCAGTGCCCCTTTATTCAATTCTGCCTGACACATCCCCTTCTGTACAAGTAATGTCATGTCTATTACCAAACAATATAGCAATTTCACTACACAGCGATTGGCTAGCTGGTGAGAGATTGCAAAAAAAGTGCCATGGCAATGTATCTACAGTGGATAGTACCAAACAAACACAAGCATTTCTGCATCTACTTCGATATTCCAAGAGCAGCTTATTTAAAATATTTGATGAGAATATTGTCAAAAATATCATTAGGGATTATTGAACCTCATCATTTCTAGTAACATTTGCTGAAGAGTTTATGTAAGAGGTCAGATGAAACTGCCTCTCAGTGAAAAAAATTGTCCATACATGCCCTTCTATAACATTACAGCAGCCCTAGGCTCCTTTACCTTTGTTTTGTTAGCTACATTCTTTATTTAATAACACCTAGACCAGGGCTCTCCTCAGAGGCCAGCCTCTGCCAGAGCACCAGGAGGCACCTGGGCCACTGTTGTGCTCCCCTGCCTGGCCAGCACAGCACAGCCAGGGGGTGAGAGGACAGCCAAAGTCTGAAGGCAGCCAGCTTCCACTGAGCTCAGAACTAGTTGCCTTCCCCTGCCAGGGCCGTACCCGCTCCAGGCCAGAAACCTCATCAGGCAGCAGCACCAACATGCTCAGCTCTCCGCTGGCGTAGGGGAGCTCCAGGATCTTCATTTTCTCTGCAGGCAGCGTGGCCACATTAAAGGTGTCGTTCAGACGCATCATTTGCACAGGTTTGCTTTCTTGCTGCAAAACAGAAGCACGAGACAATGTGAGCAGGGGGCAGTTTCCCTTGAAGCAGGCAAATATGCAAGGCCATCAAGAGGAACTGGACTGGATCCTCAAGCTGTGTTTCCATTTTAATCTCTTGTCTACAGATGTGCTTTCGATGTTTGGTCCGACACAGCTTTTGCCAGCCCCCCCTGCCAGCGAGGGCCCCAACAGAACCATGGGCCAATGACTATAGGGTGGTGTATGTAACACCCCTGATGGCTTTCTGTCCTGCCCAGAAGCAGTGAGCACATCCCTTACCTTTGTTACATTGAAGGGCATTTCTCGAGTATCTTCTGCATTAAATGCTGTCTTCCACATCCCTTTGAAGTAAATGGCATTAACAAGGACCAACGCTGTATCAAGATCAACAGAGCTTGATACAAGCAAATCTTTGATCTGTCCTGTAAGAAGAAAGCATTTCCACAAGAAATATTCATTAATGGAGATGGAAGGAATAGTTTTTCCAGAAGCTGTTCAAGTAAAGTAGTAACAAGGAAATATATTATAAACTCTCCTCAGAGCTCACCTTCTGTCTGCTTTTCCACCCAGGAGTTAATGAGCTGTCTGGCTTGGTCTGATGCTGTTTTGAAGTTCACTGTTTCCAGACCTGCTCTGTACAGTTTCTTCACACATTTCAGGTAAATCTGTGAAGACAGCAGTTGCAGCCACCAAATCAGTTTTTAAAAAGACTGTGAAATTGAAATAAAATACAATTAAAATGTTCCATGATTTTTATAACTATGCTATGGTTATACTGCTTTCATTGTTTATTTCCTGGACAAAAGGGTTAAAACTGGGCCAGCAAAATTATTCTTATGCATGACTTTTTAAGATCTTTAAGATTTTTATTACTTTATCAGGTAAGATTATGTAACAGAAATGCTGAAATACTTTCTTGAAGAAAGACAAATCCAAAAACAGCTTCAGATCCATTAGCGAGTGTTTTGTTATAATAAAATACTTTCTTTTGAAGCATTTTTCTTTATTTTTAAAGATAAAGTGTATTTGATTTAGAATATTTGTGTGTTTTATTTTGAGAATGTCAAATGGAAGATTTAGACACTTTCAAAGATTGTTTTTGAGGTTTTCAAGTGAAGAAACATACTGAAATCTAATTTTGTTCATTACTGCATTTATTTTTTAATCAGGCCATCTTTTCCCTTGAAATGCTTTCTCTGAAAAGCTGTGGAAGTCCACACTGAGGAGAGTTGGATTAACAGAATCTCTGGGCAGTATTCCTGGATTATGTGTTTATAGAAGATTTAGCAAGAAATCACACTGATGTACAACTCACCGGTAGGACAGGATGTGATTTTTCTGCATAGAGTCTATTGGCAATGCGGAGTGAATAATTGGCTTTTGATGTGGTAATATCAGAGAGGAGTTCTTTAAACAGTATGTGCATGTTCACAGATTTGCCACACTGGGTTGGGGAAGAGAAGGAAAAAGGGTATAAAGTTTAGCTTATTTTACAATAAAGACTATTTATAAGGTACAAATCACATAGGAAAACACACAGTATTCAGACATTTGCAAGCAAAATACATTAGAGTCTAAAAGCTCCATGGGAGAGATGTTCTGTATAAGCAATTAATTATGTGCAACTGATGGCATTTGCTGACACTCAGTCTTGGTGATAAGAAACAGAAAATGTGAGTGATTTGTCTGATTGCATTTTGTGAATTGTTCTACATAATCCATTAAATGTTCTAGCAAAAAGAGTAGAATGAAAAAGGAAGGGAGAGGAGGGAAGGGAAGGGAAGGGAAGGGAAGGGAAGGGAAGGGAAGGGAAGGGAAGGGAAGGGAAGGGGGAAGTGGGAAAGGGAGTTAGAAAGCGAGAGGGAAAGGGAGAGGAAAAGGAAAAAGAAGAGGAAAAGGAAGAGGAAGAGGAAGAAGAAGAAGAAGAAGAAGAAGAAGAAGAAGAAAAATCTTGTCCTTTACAAGGCCCACATTGTGCTTGGAGAACCCAAGTGGGTTTTGAAGCACAGTCAGAACAGTTTTAAGTTCTGTTCTTAGGGAAAAAAAATGTGTGTGAGAGAAAAATAAATGTACCTTAGGTTTCTGTACCTTTGTCTGACTGCTTCCTCCAAGTCCTGCAATGCTGTCAAAGTGAAGAGCCTGCAAATGGAAGTAGCAGAAGAAGAGATAAAGTATGTGAAGTCCACTAAGAGTCACTGGATTTTGTGTTCAAATTCTGGGCTTGAAATAACCAATGGCTGAACTGAGAAGTTTCATGTGAGCTTGAAATTTGTTTTTTTACTGCATATGCTACTCTGAACATTTTTTTATAGTATCTTCCAATTAGTTCACCTGATTTCTGAATGTTTCATCATTTATACGTGGCAGTTTGTTCATTTTATCAGGAAGGAGTCAGGTTTGTGAGATAATATTAGCTGAAGCAGGAGATCTCCTTAGTAGATCCATTGTTATCCTTCGTAGTGAAAAGCAATGATAAGTGAAAAGTTAACTCCAGATCCAAACTTCATGGCTCAATGTCCTTCTTCTAGCCAAGTTCAAATTCAGTGGCAAATATACAGTGTCTGGCCCCTCAAGTGGAGAAAGTCTCAAAGATAATCATGGATAACTTGTTCTAGTGACCAGCATCAAAATGAGCTTGTATTCATTTGCATAACTTACTTTCTCCATCTGATACTCAGTGTTCCCTCTTGCTCCCATATAGACCATGGCCAAGGCTGCAATGATGTTCAGGGAGGAATAGAAGATGTTCTCATTTGGATGCTGGACTTTCAGCTGGTTGTATACATCAAAACAAAATTCTGCATTTGCTGCACTGATGGAGCCCATCCTGAAATCAGTGTTGTCTAAAACAAACAGAAATATAAATGTGTAGTGTTGATTGGCACTTGTAATAAAAAGTACTTTCTGTAGCCCAGAAGCTGCTTGTTCATTGTTGTTTCTGTGATGCTGAAACAATAATGTAAAGCCTAAAAATTCTGTGATCATTAGAAATATTCTAAAGACTGACCCATTGTTTCCCAAATGCATGTTTACTTTCCTTCAGAAAGGTAATGGCTCATTATAAAAACACTATGTTGTATTTGCCCTTTAGGAAATGGACTGTTTCATCTATGCTTCTAGTACGACAAATACAGTGTGGACTGGATGAGTTTCCCTATAGCCATCCAGAGAACTCTGGGTGATTTCTGAGACAATATAAACACATTCCATTTCTTCTGTGTCTACTCTGGACCATACTCTGGATATTTCAATCAAATGTAGTCATCTCACAGTAGTCTTAGTTTGTTTCGAACTGCTTCTTTATACAACTGGCCATAAAAATGGAGGTTGCTTTCCTGTAATTTATAGGAAAAATGGGAGTGAATTTCTTTGTAAATCTACCCAGTTGCTTAGATGCCAAACTATAGCTTTAGTGGGCTTCTTTTCTATATTCTCGTTTTTTGACATTTAATCTCTGCTGATTCCATTTTTTTGTTGACAAAACCAAAAACAAAAGCATGTATATACCATAAATACAGAGTTTGGCTAAATTGCTTGATGCACTGTAAAGCTGCATTAGATCAGCCAGGTGAAGATCTTGTACATGCAATTTAATGTCATGATTTAGGGGAATTTATTGAAATCTATAGTCCTTCTCTTTCTTGAATCTGAGACCAAGAAAGCTGAATACTGCCCTCCCCTTTCTAAAACAGTTTAAGTTGGAGTAATAGCATATCCATAGTTTGGAGCAGATCTACTACGTGACCTGAAAGGTTTCTTGTACTAACAACTGTAGAACCACAGGCTCTGTGAATCATCCTACTGTACCTCACCTGTGTTCTTCAGGGAGTGAGACTGAGAAATCAGAAATTTTTTCTTCCAAAAATATTTTTTATATATCTGTCTTATATATGGATCACATTGAAAGTAATGCCTCCTATTTATTTTCATGGAAACTACAATAGATACACAGAGCATATATAATATTATTATTATAATTACAATAACTTCATTTCCTTGAGCAGACTGTCAGCCACAAAACTTTCTTTTTCAATACAGCCACCACAATTAGCTACGCATTTTTGCCAACAGTGCACAAGAATCTGCATTTCCTGCTGGTAAAAACCTGTACCAGCTGTCGCCACTGCTGAAACACACCACCCATTGTGGAGACTTTTTGGTCTCCATAAACATTCAGCAAGCATCGATGAATGTCAATGGATGCCATTTTTTCCACAAGGAGGAATTCAGTGACACACCTTTGCTTCCATGTCAGACACCATTCTGTCACACAGCCCCTCTGTTGCCATCTGTCACACAGCAACAACGTAATGGGATGCTGGTGGGAAGGTTCAGCCTCTATTGCCGTACCACCAACATCTGCCTCTGATGTCATGGGCCTACATCATAAAATAGAAGGCAGCCCTTTTTTTCCTTTAAGTTCTTACACATAATATTTCTGTGGGGCTTTTCTTTTTTTTTTTTTTTTTTTTTTTCCCCCTATTCAAGAGTACAACTTAGAAGTTATATTTTATTTGGAGAAGTACTTACAGAAAAACATCAAAGAGGCGCGTAATAATCCAGCTTGCCAGTTGAACCTAAACAGATTCTCTGAGTCCTTGGTGATATATACAGTACCCTTTCGGACACTCCCCCTGTTAGCCTTCTAAGAGTCATCCTTTGAGTTACTACCCTTGTCACTGCCTTTTGATTCATTGTGCTTGAAACCACTGAGTAGGCCAACATTAGACTGGTACTCTATTTAGAGAGAGCCAAATTTTATTTTGTGAAGTAAAACCTAATAGAAGAATGTAATTATTCAGGCTTTTCTTGTATCTTATAAAGCTGTACCAAGTTCAAGTCTAGCATGTCTCGTGCTCTACTTCAGAATTTAAACATTAATTTGAGTGAGACATATCGATAAGTAGAGCCAAACGAATAATGAATACACACACATTTAAAAAAAAAAACTTTAAAAAAAAAGAATAAACATAATACACTTCAAATAAATTTAGCTGTAAAATCAGATTAAAAAAAAAATCAATAAATCAGATCAAGTGATTCTCCCGGTCAGATGAATCTAGGATTCCAAAATATTATGAGAAAATTAGACGTGATTGGAGAACAAGAAGACCCACCACAATTCACCATTTAATGAGCACCCACTGCTAAGGCTGAGTCAAGACTAGTCCCATATTACCAAGGAGTGCAAGAAAGTGCATCAATCCCTGGAAACCATTCTTCTTTTTAAGACTGTATCTCCTTTCCAGCTGTTCAGTTTCTTCTCATCTCTGGGGCACTGTAATTACAGAATTTACTGTAGCACTGCTCCCAAGATGGATGAAGGGAAAAGTGTGATATATATGTGATCTCTCACTACAGTATGCAGGGAAACATAGGGATGCTTCTCATGAACATAGAGAAAATAATGTAGTTCCAAGTAGAGCTAGCTGCAGGATGGTCATTCTATTCAGAGGATTTTGTATTGGATTGCTTTCCATGTAAGAATAAAAACAAAGCTTTATGAGTTTTTTAAAGAATAAAATCGTACTGAAAAATGTTTTGGTCTGCCGAAAGAGTTTGAGGACTGGAGAAGCTTATAGTTAGTACTTGTTAAAAGCTCAGCTCCATCTGTTTCTGCACCTAGACAAAACTGAAGCTTTTCAATGAAAGTCAGACTATACCCGATGTAAGCCAAAGGCTCTACTGCATACATGTGAGAGGAGAAAGCACATTTTGTTGAAACTTCAGAGTTGGGATGAATTAGAGAACTCAGTGTGGATGGGGAAGAGGAAGAGATTTTGGAACAGTCTGAAAGTGTTTGCTGCCTTGTGAAGGCAGACCCCACAGAGTATTCAGATATTCAGAAATGAATGCTGAAAAGCCAGTGGAATTCAAGGGATGGTTGGTGGTCAGGTTTTGATTTTCATTCTTCATAGGTCATGGCAACAAGGCCCATTGTACATGCACAGGCTATTCTCATAAATCTTCTGTACCTCCTTTTTTACTATGACAGGTAAATAAACTACCAAATCTGTCTGAAAGAACATTCATGGTCTGTTAGACAATCATAATGCACAATATCAAATATAACTCAATTGTAAAAAGCTATTACTCTTTATTGAATAATGCCCTTGATGAGCACTAAAGAAAAAAATCCAGTAAAGGCCAAGAGAATGAATAATAGAAATCCCAAATTTTTGCACGTTAAGACAGACAATACGCAATGGTAGTGGAACCCACTGGTAAAGGTGAAAGGGTGCTCCTCTATCCCAAGCAGTGTGTTTTGTGTTGCTGAAATTTAGTCATGTACGTATGTGCAGACCATGATAATTGGAGTGGCTTTCAGTTTCTACAGTCAGAATGAGTATTTTTTTATCTGTCGATGTTACAGTAGTCATGTGGGGGGTAGGAAAATCTACAGATAGCAAGCAGCTTTCCTCCTATCTTGTTTATTGTTCCTTTTTCAATAGCTTTTACTTTATCTTGTCAAACTTTTCCTGCCCAAGGGCTTAAGTTTTGTTACAGCGTGTAGTGTCTTCTCTTATGCTCCTATTTTCACATGTTTACATGTTCACATGTTTCAGCTACATGTCAGGTGGGTACTCACACATGCCTTCAAGGCTTCCCTGAAGAACTTTCCTGGGTAGCCACACTCCTTCGTATGCTTGGTTTCAATGTCCTTGTCCTCTGTGGCTATCTATGGAGCATGCACTTGTAGAACACAACCAGCCCTGCACATATGGATAGTGTTTTCATCTCTTGGACTAACAACCAAGATTTTCTCAATAAACGTTTTGCTGTCTCCTCTAGAAGAGGACATGAAGGTGTTTTTCTTATGTTCTCTCATTCATTATGTTTGCCTTCTTTGTGTACTCAACCTCTGCAATAGCACAGTCACCACAGCAGTTCTGCATAGGTAAGATGGTTGAGGCAATACACCTTCTCCAGAGAGAGGTCTGCCACTACACAGGTCTTGCATTTTTTCTATACTGAATGTTAGTGCAAAACTTGTTGCAGAAGCAGCCTGAGTATGTTGTCAGAATGGGCTATCCATGCACACTCCTCAGCAGACTAAAATGTGGTTTTGTAATTTTAGATGGGGTTTTAGGCCAGGGAAAATCAGAGGCACCTCTTGAAATTCAAGAGTCATGAATGCAAGCAAGACAAATTGGTTAAACTCGGTTCCAGACCTGTGCTTGTCCCAGAAAGAGGTCAGCAAGGACTCTGCTGCCCTTTTCCTCTGTCAGGCAGTCCATTGTGGAGCTGTTCCTAAACCAATTCATGGGGTTTGCCATTCTTCCTTAATGTTGGCATAATCAAGGACGCAGTAAGCAATAGAAATGCAGCTCTTTCCAACATTTATCTGTTCAGATTTTCACATTTCATTTCCTGTGGTTGCTCAGCAACTCCTGTGTAGTGCTTGAGGGTGATGTTTTCTTATATCTTGGACCCGTTCATGTCATAGCTTGTCCATGTGCATCACATTTAGCAGAGGCTATTCTGGCATCTCTCAAAGTCCTTTAATGAATCAAGGTGTGGCCAGAACAGCCTAATTTACAGAATTTCGGATGCTTTTTGCTCTCATGTTATTTGTTGTGCTGGAGATGATCAGCTCTGTTGCGCATACAGTCTTAGGCAGTTGGCAGTGGTTGATTTGGAACCACTTTGAAGTCAACCAGCACCTTGTTATAAACCACTCAGATAGCCAGCGTGTCCGGCCCAGAGTAGAATTAATGTCTAAGCTGCCCTTCAGAGCTCATAGTAGCTTGTACGTCAATGTGTATTGTGTTTGCACAGCAACCTGAGGGAAGAGGAGGCCAAGCAGTCCGTTACGCACCTTGATAGCTGGTCATCTCCAGCAACAACTCAGTTTGATGTAAATAAAGCCAGCAGTAAACATTTAAACATTGTTTAAATGCTTTGTTGTTGTTTTTAACTAAGAATGCAGCTAGAAAAAAAGATTACGTGGAGAGAAAATAGAATTTTTCTTTTTGTTTGTATTTTAGTCCTGTTTTTGAGAATACCTAGATATCCCTGAAGCAAGTTAAAAAAATCTAAGATCATACATTTATGTATTATTTGCTTCTGCTGTAGTAAGCTGAGTGACAGTTGTTGTTTCAGTCACACTTCCTTCTTCATTCACACGCTGAATTCCTTTTCCTGTTAACAGACTGGCACTCTTCAAGATGATATTCTATAGTACTTGTCCTTATAATACGTACTATAAATTTTGTTTTCTTTGAAGATCTGAAAAATGTATAGGTCTGATAATACAAGCTAATATATGCTAGCACTATTTATTTCACTATTTGTTTTGTTTTAATACATATTTGACTCAAACCAGACATACAGAGTGGTATTCACTGAAAAACACACATGGCTATTTTTTACATACTCTGTTCATCAGAACAGTTCACAGCCTATGTTTGGTGTTGCCTTCTTTTACCAGCTAATTGATATGCAAACTTTGCCTCTGCCAGTGACTCTCCTAATTCAGGCTGTATTTCATCTGAAATTGCAGCCCTGCAAGACATAGTCATAGACTGTCATGAGTCTTCTTTATTTAGCAATCAAAATTAAATGCTTCGTACTGTAATTTACAGTTTTTTTCCTGCATATCTCAGCACTTGGGAAAGCTCTTCAAGTGTGCAGTTCTGAAATAGCAGTAGTATGTACCCAGCAGTTACTTTCTTCCCAACTGAGAGTAACAGGAAAAGCAGGGTGAGTCATCAAAGCATTTTTTTTTGTTTTTTTTCCCCTTAAAAAATATAAATAAATTAATTAAAAGGTATTTCTCATGAGTCTCTGAATGCTGGATGTTGGTTGCAACTAAATTGGATGTGGTCCTTTCTTTTCTGCAACCACTTTGCTATGCCTTTAAACCACTTATCCACATCTGGAAGGAAGTTTATAGGACTGGGTCATCAGTATATTTATCAGATTTTTTTTCTCTTTATTTAGGTCCCAGTTAATTTCTCATTACCAAGTAATAGTGGCAATGTAAGGAAAAAAAAGAACAGAGCAACATAAAAGGAAGGAGACATGAAAGGGAAGAATCATTGCCCGTCTCAGAGGCATGGACCGTATGAGCCATGGCAAGGGCTGCTATTTAGCTTTGCTTCATGCTGCAGTTCCATGTTATCACACACTTTCATACTGGACATCAGAAAAAATTTCTTTACTGTGAGAGTGGTCAAACACTGGAACAGCTTCCTACAGAGGTGATTGATGTCCCACATCTGTCAGTGTTCAAGGGGCATTTGGATAATACCCTCATTAATATGTTTTAAGTTTTGGTTAGCTTTGAAGCTGGCAGGCAGTTGGACTAAGTGATCTCTGAACGTTCCTCCCAACTGTTCTATTCTTTAGATGTCATCTCATCTTCCCAGTAGAGCTCTCGGTTCCTGGACTGCCTGTGCCAAGTGCTCATGAAGATGAAGCACCTGTAATGTAAATGCAATGTCTTCTCCTGGGCTGAGCTGACTCTGACTGCTTCTTTGCTGATGGAGGGTGGTGTTCTGCTCTGACTTAATGGAAACCACTGCCGCAGAGTCAAGTTCCTTTCACAGGTTTTTCTGAGGAGAGGGCATGCATAGAGAAATGAAGGACTGACAGGTTACCAGGAGCCAACTTCTCTTGTCCCACAACAGAGCAAGAGGTACAATCCTAGCTATTCTGGTTTTACCCTCTCAAACATATTTTTCTCCTCTCAGGGAGGAAGAACTCTGTAGATGTGGCTGCATCTCATGAGCGTACACTGCTGAATCATGTCTAGGATGTGCCAAGTATCTGCAGGAAACATAACAGGAAGAGGGAAACAGAAAAATTCACAAAATAAGCATCTGACTCAGAGCATTCAGAGGAGCACTTCTGCCTCTCATTGAATAATTTGTGTCTGTTCTGATAATGTTTTCTTCAGGAAGCCTTGATGCTCCTAGAACAGATGATGGAGCTGCACTGATAATTACAGCATATATTTCCTCTAACCCCTAGCTCTTCATCACAGTTTTCAGAAGAACTGTGCGGTGAGCCTGGGGCTCTCATGTTTTCCCTGGGTTTGAAATGTGTATGGGGCCGATGAGGCTCTTCTTGAACTCCATGGTCGTTTTCACTCTGCACCTCTGGATGGATGGCTTGCACAAAACAAGTCAAAAAGGCAGCAAGGAGGAGTTGTCCAGGCTGGAGGCATAGGGTATACACCAGAAACCTCTGGGTGTGTCTTCCAGAATCGTTCCCATTCATCATCATTCATGAACAAGGAAATGAGCACCACACACTACCAATGCACATCTTCTTGTCTTCCACCTCTGGAGGCTGTTATGCTTCAGGAGCAGAACTTGCTGGTTTTATAACATTCCTTCTGCTGAGTGTCTTGAGGTTGGTTGTGTTCTGAGTGCTGTGTTAATTTTAGGCAAACAGGTGCTGTGCACAGCACTGCTCAGGGCACAACAGTATATTTTCCACAGATGACCAGCAACTGATTACATTGAGTGTAATGGAGCTAAGCTCTGATGTAGATGTCACACAGTGATTGCTTAATTTAGACAACAGGAGTTGGGGGACATGGTACTAAGAGAAGACTAGGGAATTAAGGCAAGATACATGCTATCAGAAAGCTATAGAGCAGAACAGTTCTCTGTCATTATTGCCAGGGTACTCACCCATGTGTGAATACTTGTTTTCTCGTAAACATTAAAACAAGAATAGTCCTAGCAGCAGAGATTGAAAGCCAGAACTCACCTACTAGGTGTCCTAGTTGTTTAACTGCTGAGTTATCATCAGTCTTTGAATTTCCAATTTTTTTTTTCATTAATTTGCAATCATCCCAATTAAGGTAGAGCTTCAGAAGCACGGGGTATATTTGTGTTTTTTTTTTTTTTTCCATTGATCTTATGCTAAAATCTAGAGTCTGACAGTACTGGAAAATGCAAGCTCATGTTGCAATGAGAATATGGGATTCACTGAAGATAGGCCCTTCACCCCTTGAGCCGCATGATTTCTCCACTACAGTAGTTATGAACCACTTCCACTTAAAAACATGAAGTCTGCTCTGATGGCATTTTCATGGAGCAGTATTTGAAGAGCTTGTGCTTGGTGTGTTTTAAATACATTCACTGGATGTTCTGCAGAGGCCTGTGCTTCAATCTACTTTATTCTTATATTTTAGCATGGGAAAAGCACCTCACTGCTCACATCAACACAGTTCAGAGCAAACAAAGCAAAATGCCATCTGCAAGGGAATTTGCAAAAGAAGAAAATAAAATACCTGCAAAATTTGGAAACTTGCACACGCATGGTAAATGAGAAATTTTATTTCAGATGGCTTTTTGGAGGTATATGCTTCACACCAGCTTACATCCTATTTAGGATTGCTACGCCCCTACTTTGAGTGTTGCTTCTCCTTTCTGAATTTATCTGTAGTTCTGTATATTAAACATGTTTTTCACAAGTTCTTCAATATGTATACATAGAAAAATACAGTTAAAATATCTGATTTCTAAATCTGTTTTTCAGAAACCCTATGAATACAGTGATATAATGCCTGTTAGAAGTAATTATAATGCTATTAGAAAATAAGTGTACTTTATTAAGAGAAAGGATTTAGGGGTACTGTAATATGGCATCCAGACATGAGTCAGTATTGTGCTCTAGCAGACCAGAAATCCATATCCTGGGCTGTATCAAAAGAAGCACGACCAGCATGGCAAGGCAGGTGATCCTGCTCCTTGCTCTACGCTGGTGAGGCCTCACCAGCAATACTGCATCTGGGGAGTCCTCAATACTGAGGAGATGTGGACCTGTTGGAGCGAGTCCAGCAGATGGCCACAAAAATGATCCAAAGGATGAAATGCGGTATGGGAACTGTTGAATCACAGCTTGAACCACTGATTGACCACCTGAAGCAAGCAATGAGTCAGCTGCGGGAGCACAGGTGAAGGCAATTCAGCTGTGTGACCAGAAGGGGTTGAGCCTGGCTGCACCTCTCCTAGACCCCATTTAAGGGCTGACTGCCCCTAGGGAAGGATTCTTTCTGGAAATTCCTTCCTTTAGAGTTTTTCTGCAAGCCTAGGATACAGGTGAGTATTTTTATTTATTTTCAGTTGTCCCTTTCCATGATAATCCTTCAAGTTATATGACCTGCAAAATACCAACCTTGCTGTGCTACTCTGCTAATTGTATATTTGTTGACTGTACAAATGCTTATCCTATGAAGATGGGTTGAGAGCTGGTGCTGCTGAATCAGGACAAGAGAAGGCTCTAAGGTGACCAGAGAAGGGTCTTTCAGTATCTAAAGGGAGCTCTAAGAAAGGAGATGGATTCTTTAGTAAGGTCTGTTATAATAGGACGAGAGGAAATAATTTCAAACTAAAAGAAGGGATATTTGGCTTGGATATAAAGAGAAATTCTTTTACAGTTAGGATTGTGAGGCACTGGGATGTGCTCCTCTGAGATGTGGTAGAAGCACTTTCCTCAGAGACACTGAGGGGGCTGAATGGGGTAACTTGACTTAACTGTAGGTTCCTGTTCAGTGGAGGAGAGTTGAACTAAATGACCTTGAAAGTTCCCTTCTATTAAGTCAGTACACATGCCTAATAGCGTGGCAGGTGTGTGATTGCTGCACTATCAACAGCTGATTACCCAAGGGTGGTGTGAGTGCCATTGGCCCTGAGCAACTGTAGGTGCATGAGAGCAGAATGAAGAGGATAAAACCTGAAGAGTTCAGTGGTAGAACGCAGACAATCCCTCATTGAACTGCAGCTATGCAGAACAATGAGATATCCCTAACTGACCTGTAGACCAATGGGGTAGATCCATGGTGGTGACTATTCCTTCTCTATAGCTAGTTTGCTAGAATTCCTCCCTTCATTGTTGCTAACCTTGCCATTTTTCCTACATTCCTTAACTGCTTGGAATTAGTAATAAACTAGCTGGACAACATTTGACCTCATTTGTGTCTTAATCGTGCTCTAGATATATCACGAACCATCTCCTCCAGCAACTGGAGCAAGACATTGTGTTATTTGACACTTCATCACAGGGATCTCTATTCCTGTCATTGCAGAAGTGGGATTGATGTTTGAAGTTGTGGTGCTCAGAACTTTCCCAGGGTATGTAAACACCAAGTAATGACATCTGGAGGTGATAAAAATGTAGCTTCACAGGCAGTCTGTGCTGTCAGCCTCCAGAATGGAAACGTGGACACAATTGGAAAAGTACTGCTTATGTTGTATTGCACCTTCAGATCAGACTATAAGGGTGAGTTGTTGAAAATTATTGTCCTACTCCTGCTAGTTCTTGCTTGAACATCATGCCTAGGCTTTCTTATCCAGAGAGCCCCAGGTAACTTTTGGTACATAAACTGTGCTAATTATGAGTTACTTTATGGAGCTTTACACTCAATTATATGACTAATGGCTAATGTATACTTGCCTTTTTATTAGGTCACAAAGCACAAGTTGCGAGCATTAGTTAGACCTCACGTAGAACTCAGTGAGGAAGGTGTTACTTCTGTCAAACCAGCAGATTAACAGTTATGTCTATCAGTCAGCTGCTAATTCTGTTTTTCTCTGATTGTCTCACAGACTAAAATATTCTCCATGTGATGTTTGACTGTGATTTCTATTGCTTACGTTGCCCTTTTCAAAACTTTTTTTCATTCCTCAGGGCAGGAGAGACATGTATACCTATGTAAATACATCTCAGATTGTTAAGCTTCACCAGAAAACAGACCTCAAGGAAGAAAACCAATTACTTCACTATGTAAGTAATTAATCTTCTTTAGAAATGTGTGTTTTCACATCCCATTCCTACAGACACTGCACATACAAAATTCTTTTTGGTGTCATTCAAAATCATGGGGACTTAGAAAAGATTGTCCAGAAAGGTTGTGAAATCTTTGTCTGGAGATTCTCAAAAGCCCTCTGGACATGATCCTGGGCAATGTGCTGTAGGTAGCCCTGCCTGAGCAGGGGGAGCTAGACAAAATGTCCTCCAGATGTCCCTTGCACCATCAACCACACTGTGATTCTTTAAGGGTGGATTTATTTTCAAAAAAGAATGCCAAAAAGCCTTGTAAAAAGAGGGTCAAAATCTTCCCTTCCCATATACTCAATTTCTGTTGTAATCAACTCTCCTACTAGATGTGTTCATGAGGCATAATCTTGTGTTCCTACTGTTGCTACCATAAAAAAAAAAACCCACAGTACTCTGAGTAAAACTTGTGGAAAAAATCAAGGGTTTGTGAAAGGGGTACATGTCATATTCCATCTATCTTCCAGTTGATGAGATGGTACTTCAGATACCATCTTCAGGCTTATGTCTAAATAAATAAAAGAAACCAAAGCTGCTGCTAGCATAAACAATTTATATAGCACAAGGATAGATCCAGCATACATCAGGTAGGGGAAAAAGTGGTACAGTTGTCAGTGAATACGTGAATTTGCTATAAGTAATTATTTCCTGCTTGCTTGTGACTGCTGCTACAGAAAAGAGAATTATTAAAGTGAGATCTCCTCTGTGCAAAGGATTTGCCACAAATAGAGTATGTATAAGTATAAAGCATCTCCAAAGCCCCTTTCTGCTAATCAAGACCCACCTGGCAGGAAGTCAAAAACTCCAGAGAAAATAAAAATACTCCAGTTTTACTGACGGTTACTGGAAATTGTTACAAACAGTTCTCTTCAGGTAGCAGCACACACATTCCACCTTTGCCAGGCAAATAGTGTACTACATTACATTGTTATGCTGGAGAACTGTAGGCTGTACAGGAGTGTATGTATGCCTTGAGGGAACAAAATGTTCTTGATACCCTGTCAGGTTAAAGGAAAATTTACTCCTGTTTTGGATTCAGATCAATATTTGCCTTTCAAGGATCATAACAGGAGAGCATTCAATTGATGGTTCTAAGCTAAATTGGTTGCAATGATTACTTTGGTCTACAATCATTCATAGGATTAAGAAGGTGTAGGGAGAAAAACAGTATTTCTGATTCTCATCCAGGTTTTTCTCACAATGCTAGAAAATGGCCCTGATTTTTAAGGTGAGCAGAATTTACCAAAGAAAAGAATGGCACTGGTGGGATTGTGCCTAATAAAGAATAAGAAAGGATGGTCAGCAATAAACACCTCTATGAGGGGAAGGGATCTCCTCACAATAGTAGCTCCTGTAGCAGCTGCTGCTGTAGTGCCCTCCTCATTGACTTCCACGTAAGCCTTATGGACGATGTTTGATAACACCAGGGATTTCTCAGATGACAATGCAGAAAGATCAGCTTTGGATTCAGTGAAGATGTCAGTCATTCCCATTGCTTTTAATACCTCATTGAGGTTAAAGGTGTCTTCGAGCTTGAATTGGGGCAGGTACACCTCTACCATTGTCTCAAACATGTGTTCGGAAGAGAACCACAGCATTAAATTTTCATAGGTCATTGTGCTTTCAGTCTAGAAGGTAGGCAAATCAACAAGTTTAGATTTTTGCCCAGCTTCAATTCAGACAACCAGCTTTCAGTCTGGCTTAGCTGCAGTCCTCAGCCTTACCTGTTCCAGCCCGCTGGTAGATCCATCTGCCGGGTCTCCTGGCAGCAGGATGATCATGCTCAGTGACTTCTGAGCATAAGGGAGTTCAAGTACCTGAGTTCCCAGCTCCTCGATATAGCCTAATTTAAACGTGCCTTTCTGATACATCATCTGCACTGGCTTTCTCTCATTCTATTTAAAAGAAATTGGAATGATCACACAAGCAATACAGTCCTTAGTGTTTAAATGGCAGGAGCAGTATCAGCAGTAATTGTTATAAAGCTAAACATTTTTCTTTATTTTGTTGCTCATACAGTGAGACACACAAAGCATCTGTTTTTCCATTCATGTATAAAGGGGGTAATTCTCTGGGGGAGAAAATAAAACAAAGAATTTCCCTGCAACTGATCAGATAGTAAAGTGGCTTAATACTGTTACTCTGCAGCCAAACAAGCTGGTACTGATGGGATTTGCAAGTCCTGGTTTGGAATGGGATAAAGTACTAGTAGCATTGCAGTGCAGGAATCAGGTTGCCATTTATCAGGTAGATGTTTTAGGCAGGAAGTAATTGACAGATTAAGAGCAAAATGATAACCACTCTATCTCAGACATGTTCTTCTAGGGCTTGTAATCCTCACTTTGTTTTGTGATGAGTTTGTTCAAATCCTGTGTAGAGGATTGAGATTCATTTCACCATTAGCTGACTTCTTACTTTCTAAGTCAGCAGAAGAATTTTAGTAGAGAAATTGCAAGTTTAGTAGAGTATTAATAAGTGTGTGAAGACAAGTATATGCAGGTTCTTCCTATCTCATAGTTTCTGTCACTGCAGCAGTACTCCAAATGTTCCTGCCTATAGTCCATTTTCAGTGTTTATATTCAAAGACATTTCAAGTAAAAAAACTTAGGAACCAAAATTACACTTTCTTACCTGTGTCTTAAAAAATTGCAGTGCAACACTAACTACAACATATGTATTTCTGACCTTTTGTTTTTATAGATAAGAAACACTTAGAAGAGAGATTTTCCCATACAAAGCTCGTCAACTTCAGATCAGAGTTAGACCTGTGTTCTTTGTGGGTTCATTTTCTTTTTTGGTGGTTTCATTATTTAATGTAACATAGGCAAAGCATATAGAATGAAGACAAAACTGAATAAAATGAAATAAAATGGTTTTGATCATCTTTTTTGAAGATGTTTGTTAGACTTAATCTGTACAGAGCTTGGATTAATGTGGTTATTAAAGAACTTTTTGCAGCTATGTTGACTGTACCTTGGTTAAGCAATGAAAGCTTCAGTTTTATAAATATGGTGGGAAAAAAAGGAATCAAAATTAAAACATTTAAAAAAAACTTTTAGATGTTGCAAATACTAGAAATAAATCAAAATACTCTGAGGATTTTTCCTGTTTCAAATTCCATCTTCATATATGTGGCTTGTTAATATCTGGCCTCATTTTTTGTTGGTTTGGTTTAACCTATTTGTTGCATAGCTCATGCTCAAATGTGTGGAATGCATAAAATCTAGGGTGGCCCCACAGAGTCTGTGTGAAATGAGATCTTTGCAATCTTTGGCTTCTATCCATGACAACTGCCCGTAATGATTATTAGGTTCAAAAGTGCTGATCAGGACTAACACTTTGGGTTTTGCCAGCTATTGAAACAAAATGCTGAGTTGTTGCAACTTCTGAGACTTGCACTTTTTTTTCCCAGTAAGGATTATGGTTTTTTTGAAAACTTTCTTGCTATCTCTACCCAACAGGAGGTAAAGGTTTAGTTCCTAGCACACCCATGCCTTTCTCACAGCACAGCTGAAAGCCCCCAGCTTTGTATTTCCGTATTATGTTTATTCCAGTTTATTCTAGGGTAAATCATGCTAAGACTTATAGAATGCATATGTACCTGATTCAGTTTAAAATCTCTTTGTACTGTATTTTTCTCCTCAAACTTGTGTTCCCAGGATGCTTTGAAGTAGATCACATTCACCAGCACCAGAACGGCGTGTGAGTCAATCACTCCTGGAGGAAAAAGTTCCTTGATTTTACCTGGAGGAAATTTTGGACAACAGAGGTATGTATTAGTTGTTATTAAGACTCTGGATTGAGACTCAATTACTTGACTGTGAACTTAGCTTTAGAGTACATTAGAAATCCAGCTCTTTGTTGCAAGCAAAGAAATGGCAAACTTCTCAGCACTGTTACCCAGTACTGGCCTGTTTGGGAGAGGAAGGGGCACAGGGTCATCAAATTAGCCAACAGTGGCAAAATGAATGTGCCATGTGGCACCTGTCCACAGTGAAAGGGGCAGCACCATTAATCTTCTGTTTCAGTTCTCATGAGGACATCTGTCCCTTTTTTTTTTTCCTGTACAGAGGTTGAGGTAGGATTTCCCAAGGGCACAGGCTTTGAACAGGCACACAGAGCAATGGAGGTCCAGGGTTTGCAGGTCTTTCCCACATTAGTCACAGACTGCTCTGTCAGCCCAAGGACAGGTTTGGTCAGGATATGACCACTAAGAAATCAGAAGCCTTCAAATCTATTCATCCATCCCTCACTAAGTTCTGGCTTAAATTCACATGGAAGATTTAGGAGATTTTCACCCTGCTGATGTTGCAGCTCTGAGAAAATTAAAGTGGCATATTCCATGTTCAGCTTAATCAGAAAAAAGCCAGTGACCTCTATGTGCCTGTAAAGGGCAAAAGCTGGTTGGTTGTTATACTTGTAATAGTGAATTTCTCTGGTGGGCACATCACACATCTTTGTTAGCATTGCTCTGTGTAGGACCAGGTCTGAGGTGTCTGCTCTCCCTGCCAAGCTGTTCCCAGTCCCACTGTGAAGCTCATAACTTCCATCCCCCACTTTCCTGTACCTGCAGCATTGGCTATTTGCAAAAGCAATTAATCTATTTAACCCTTAAAGGTACTGTTCCAGCTATCTTGCTAGGCGTGTGGGTAGGAGTATGGCAGTATGTGACAACAAAATAGTTTAGCTGATAGATGACTCTAAAGAATGAATGGGAAGAACAAATTATCTTTGAAAGGCATAAGAAACCTAGAAACATGAACAAGACATCATATGCTGAGTTCTTTTTGGAGGAGCACTGGAAGAGGGAAAAGATAGCACAGCTACAGTTCTGCTTTGTTTTACCTTGTGTCTCACTTTCAACCCAATCATTTATTTTTAGCCTGCTTGCTTCAAGAGCCCTTTGAAAGTCCACTGTTTCAAGGGCTGCTCCGTATAGTTCCTTACTACACATTAGATATTTCTGTAAAGCAGAATAAAGATTGTGGATTAGCCAAGCCTGTTCAGAGCTTATTCTCTTTACAGTGAAGTCAACAATTCAGAAACGTTTCAGAAATTGAGGCTTTTCTTGACTGAATAAGACAAAAGAGGAAAAGAAAACCAGCAATGCAAAGCTGCAAATCGAAAGATATCCCAGAAGCAGCTTGCAGACAGCTTGAATAGATCATTTTTTGCTGTAATCACACTTCTGGCTGAGTGTTGACATGTCAAAAGTGAAAGGTCTTCTATTTTGTTTTTTGCTCTTCAGGGTATTGTCTTGATATTTTTTTTGTGTGTGGTTTTTTTTTTTTAAACAGAAGCAATTAAAGCTGATACTCCTGTCTCTTTCCCAACAACCCTAAGAAATATGGCTCCAAGAAGCACCTCCAATACTCAAAAATACACAGGAAGGGACAACAGTGGTGCATATACTTACCAGGAAGCTGGGGTCAGTGCCACAGACAGTACAGTTATCTTACCTGATTTGGTTCAAATCCTTGTTGGATAAAGAGGTTGTTAGCCAGGCTTAAAGTGTAGTCTTTGCCAAGGTTTTGTAGTTGTAAAAGCAGTGCATGGAATGCTTCATGGTTAAGATTCCCATCTGTGTTACACTAGGAATATTTCAAACACACCAGTTATGAAGATTCCTCAGTACAGCTTTGTTAATTTGCATCCTCATTAGATTGCAATGTAGGGCTAGCTCCCATTGTAATTATATTTAAATTCAGTTAATCTAAGCTTTGTAGCCTGATCTTCCTTCTGGTGTGGGGGCTTTGGACTTGACTTTATGGAAGACTTGGCTGATAACAAGATAACGCCTTCTATGATGGACCAGGCAGACGTTGTGCATGGGATCTTGACTCCCTCCAGTGGCGGAATGTGATGCTTTACAACTAGTAGGCTACAGTGGAGTGAAAGAAAGGCTCTTGTATTACAGAAGACATACCAGAGAGGAGGAAGACTCTCTTTCCTGGCTTAGTTCAGACTTGTTTTCTGGGACTGCACCTTCAAGTTCAGGTTCAAGGCTTGTAGTTCCTGCAGCATTGCTGACGTGGAGAACCTGCAGTTGAAGAGGTCAAACCATGGCAGTTTTAACTGGGATAAAGGTGTTCTCCTTGTTTGAAAGATTTACTGGGCTGGATTTACTGGATAAATGATGTAGATTTATTAAAGATATCATAGAAAGGTTTGGGTTGGAAGGGACCTCAAAGCCCACCCAGCCCCAACCCTGTGCTGTGGGCAGGGCTGCCACCACCAGCTCAGGCTGCTCAGGGCCCCATCTAACATGGCCTGGAACATCTATAAATGGGGCACCACAGCTTCTCTAGGAAGCCTCAGCTGGTTCCTCACCACCCTCTGTGTGAAGAATATATGCCTAACATCTCACCTAAATTTCCTCTCTTTTAGTTTGAAGCCATTCCCCCTTGTTCCATCACTATCAGACTGTGTAAAAAGTTGGTAAAAAGGTCCTCCTCCTGCCTATAAGCTCTCTGTGTATTTTCCCTTCGTACTTTATCAGCTGCAGTCAGACTGGAAGGTCAGAATCGAATTTGTCCAATATCCATATTCAAATTCACATTTCTATATTGTGAACCAAGAAAAACTTTCTTTTAGTCCCTCAAAATGCTACTTTCTAGTACCTCAATATTTTTTATTTGATTTGTATTTATTTCTATAGTTGCCTTAAGTTTCAAAATGAAAAGTTGCCTCGAGCAAAGAGGCAAAAATATTTTGCTTGCAAGCATCAAAACTAGCTTTATGCAATCATTCTTAGTATTTGTATCAGCTCAGGAAACGTATCAAAGTCGTAGTGCTCTTGATAGAAATTGAACCTTGTTTCCAATGTGCAAATATCTCACTGAAAAATTTTGAAATGCTTCTCCATGGTGATATTGTTGTAGTATACAAACACTTCAGCTCTTTTTTTGAGTACTTGGTCTCCATTGCTTTCCTAAACTAAGCAAGCATCCCTCAGAACTGCTTAAGGATAATGCATTTCCCTTGGCAGCAGCTGACCTATGGTAGTATTATAACATGATGGATGAAGATCCACCAGGATACAGCCAGAGCTGGCTGCTGCCTTATGCTACGTGTACCTTAGGAGTATTGGTCACTTACTGCTCTCAGAAACAAATAAGAAAAGAAAGAAAGATTTCAGAACATACAGCTTGTGCTGCAGAGAGTAAAAGGCATAGCGACCAGAGGAACAGACTTCTGCACGCCCTCCCTGTACCCCCAGGCCCTGTGTGCTCTGTAGGTGAGACGTTTTGAATCGTTTGAATGTCACAAGTGATAAGTGAGCAGGGATATCGCAGCACACCGAACGCTGCTCTCAAGGCAGCAGCTGAATTTGTGTTTATCCTTGCTCCCTAAGCACGCATGTTGTGCTGCAAAGCCCAGCGTTGCCACTGAGGGAACAGCAGGCTATGTGGAAGCATCTCAGAGCGTTTCAGCAGTACTTACATTTTCTATCTGAGTGGCAGTGTTGTTTCGTGCCCCTAGAAGGATTAGGCTGAGGGAGGTAGAGATGCTCATTGGAGAGAAGACGATGTTTTGGCATTCTGTGGTTTTGTTGACTTTATTGTAGAGATCAAGGCAAAACTCAGTAATCATTCTAGAAATGGAGCCCATTGTGAAGCCTGTAGCTTACTGGGGGCAAAAAGGGAAAGGAGAAAAATGAATCAGTTGATTGCACACTGTGAAATATCTGTCTGCCCTAAAATCATTCCACAGTTGGTCACTAAATAGTAGAAATGTGCTGAATTCTGAGTTTGAAATAGCCAGTTTTGCACACATCTGTCAACTCTCACTCACGTGGATACAGCAGGATCTGGAAAAGGGCTCCAGTGCTCGTACCATACGGGAATTCCTTAGGAAGAATTGTTTTTCCATCTTATCACACAATGTATCTGATTTCTTCCAAAAGAGACTTTCCCATGGTCCAACTTACTTGTTCTTGTTGTAAGCAAAAGGTTGTGGTATTTAAATCAGTCAGCTGTGGATTTCCTTCTACAAACTAGTTTAATGTATGTCATCGTATCAACTCTTTCCTCTTGTAACAACGTGATTAGTGACAGATTGGGGTGACAGAAACCACGCAGGCATCTAACTGCACCTGGTAACCTGAGCTGCGGTGTGAAGGATTCAAACAGCAGGTTTAATTTATGAAAATTCTAGTAATTATTTTCATGTATGAAGAAGGAACGTAAACAGCTATGGTGATACTGCCTATGGAAACATGAACAGTTTGCAGTATACTTCATGTCTCCTCACTGATTTGATAGGAACTACTGATTCAGAATGTATAGATAATAGCAATTTCCCAACAGAGCAATAGCTCAGCAGCCCCAGAGAGTCTGTAAGCTTCTTGTTCAATGGCAGGACAAGATCTGTCTCAGTCTTTTCTCTTGTACTGGAAATACAGCAGTCAGATGCCTTTCCTGTGGATCATTAAATCCACTCCGGTAAGAAGAATTTGGGACAAAGTATCAGCTTGGTCTTTTCATGAAGAATGTCATCTGAAAATAAAAAAAGGGCTTTTAAGAAGCCCTTATCAGTTCTTTAGGGAAATAACTGTAAGTGTGGATAGCAGTGAAGTACTCAAGCTTTTCTCAAAATATTATACCATAAAAAACCCACATAAATTTTAGTGTCAAACAAAGGTTGTTCTCGACAGCACACCAGAAAAATGTAAGAAAAGCAAAGCATGTGCTCTTGGCTGTTTGCAGACATAAGCAACTATGGCCTGTGTTCCAGAAAGATATTTTATTTAGGAGAAAATACTGGAGAAGAAGCACTCAGGTCAGGGTGGCTCTAGCTTTCAGCCTGCATTGGGATGAGAACTATTTGGTGTTCTGTACTGACTGCAAGGATGCAGAGCACACACTGCATCTCATTCAGGTATGAGACAGGCAGGAACTCTGCATGAGAAGCGGGGGCTCAGGCACCAAAAGTTACCAGGGTGTAAGAAGTTGCTATGGCTCTGCTGAAGTGCAGCAAGTTGTCTGTGTAAGCAGCTTAGCTTGCAGCAGGTGCCAGACAATGGGAACTAACTCAGCCCGCAAGAAAAAAGGCTTAGCCTAAGATAGATTGACAGGAAAGTCAAGTTGCTGAATATATAAAGGTGCTGATATGCGGCGAGCACAGAAAAGGCATTTCTCTCCTTTTACCTAGCTTGAAATAAAAAGTTCATATATGTTTCATTCTAAGACGCTTGTTTCACCCTGAAGTCCAGTAGTACTTCATATGAAGGGCTGACATAAATGGGCAGTCGTCCTCCCACAAGAAAGAGACATTGCAGTAATCATTTCTCTTTTCTTCCACCCTTGTTAGCTATTATTCACAACCTTCTGAAAACAAAACTCAGCACTTCTTTCATGTTAAAGTTTGTTTTGCTCCACCTTCATAGCTGGTGAAAGATCTAAAATGGATCTGGGAAGTTGTTTACTGTGAATGTAGGTCAGGATGCATGTTGTAGGTGTGTCTAGACCTCAGAAGGTATCGAGGAGGCAACAGGAGCTAATGAACTTCCTCATCAGAAGGGAGGCACCTCCACCCCAACCCACAGGGAAAGAACCAACCAGCAAGCACAAAGGGAGAGCATGAGAGCTGGAAACAGGTTTTAAATGCAAGTGTGTGGCATACAGAGTTGTTCCTGCCTTTAGAAAAAGCAGTAGACTGTGATATCCAGGTACAACCACTACTACCAATTCCATGGCTTCATGTGAGCTATTTACAGGAAAGGCAGTGCAACAGTGGAGAGAGAAGGGATGTGGGCTGGAGAAGGAACTTTCTTAGTAGAGAACCAAAGGATTTAGTGAACTTTCTTAATGGGTATTTGGGGAGGGAGTATGTGTAGGTATGATTTCACATCATTAAGCCATACTTATGATCTCTGTAATCATTTGTCGGTGAGAGTTTAGGAGCCACTGTGAGGACAGGATAACTTGGAGAACACCTAGATGTTGGTCAACAAATGGAAATGGTACTTCTAAAAGATCCTGGAGTGGGAAGGAGAGAAAATACAAGATCAAAAGAAGTGTTCTAGGAAGATCACAGCTGTTCTGCCCCAGACAAACTGTTTGCACAGAACATTAGCAATTGTGCAGAGGCAGCAAGCAGGGCTGTGGTCTTACGGCTGATGAAGGGAGATGCTTTGCATGATGGTTAAGTAGCTGTTAGCACAGTCTGGGAGATGGAATTGCCGGTGTTGTTATATGTGAGCAGGGAGCTACCCAGGAAAAGAGCCTCCTTCTGTAGAAAGGACTCTGTACCAGAAGCCTTGTAAAGATAACAAATTGTTTCCATGTCTCTGTGAAGTGAAAAATGCTCCTTTTCTATAGCTATTCATGCTCTGTTCTCTCTGTAGAGCTTGTTTTAGGCTAAAGATGAAAACAAGGCAAAATTTCTCAAAGAATGAAAAGCTGCACTTAAAGCTATCATAATTAATAGATGTGGTATGTTACATTATGCAGTCAGCGGTTGGAGGCAGTCAATAAGATGTGGATGATGGAAGAGTGGTAGCCTGGTTTGTAAGGCGATTCTATATGTAGAAAGGGAAAGCAAGAAGAAACCTGTTTTCCCTGATGCTACATGCTAATTCCAATTGCATACTTACTCTTCTTCTCATTAAAGTGCTTTAATGTACATTTATTTCTTGTAAGCAAAGAAAGAGAGAATTGACAGAAATGATACATGTCTATCCTAGAAAAGGAGAATGTGACAGGTGTGTCCTCACATGAAAAATCTATAGTTGGTAGAAGTTACTTTCTTATTTTTCATGACCACTGATACAAAAACTTCTCAAAGTGTTTCTGTGGCATTTTGGAGTTAAAGGGACACAACGCATAAGAAAAATGAAATTTTCTTTAACACAGAAATTCTAATTCTCCCGATGCAACACAAAACATTTCTAAAGTAATGTGATTTAAATGAAAACCCAATACATTCCAGCGCAAAATATCTTTACAAGCAACTTAGACCCTCATACTGCTCTTTTTATACAGAAAAGGGCTCTTCCTGACTGGTTCTATTGTTTTGCATCAGTACCTCCAGGATGTATCTTTTCTGCTTCTTTCTAGGCTGGTTATTCCTACTTGAACAGACATGGATGTACACTGGCCATACAGTGGCAAGCTATTTGTTATGCCAATGTGTAGTTACATAAACTTCCCAGCAAATTTTTGAACACCACTGCCAAAGCCAGGAGCAAATATGTTGATAGTGAAGCATCCTCATTACCAAATCAAAATCTGAAGAATACTCCACCCTTCCTATTATATACAGCAATTGTTAAGAACATAAACAATCCTGGCAGCAGAAATCAGGGTATGGAGGAAACACCCAAGCATGCAACCAAAAAGGTACATGCCCTCTCTTGTCTAGTGAACATTTCAAGGCTTTTCCTTGTGCCATGGAAACCTGAGTGAAGAAGTAAAATTAACCTGTTTCTATTAATTTATGGGTGAGTTTACCCAGATGATCTGCATCATCGCTTCTCATAAAGCCCATTTTTTTAGAGTTGGGCTGTTCTAAAACAGCCGTTTGGCCCTTCTGGAGATGGAGGCAGAAAAGCATCTGCATGTAGTAAAAACTGCTCACTCTGTGGCAGTTATAGCTCTCCAAGCAGGCAGAGAGGACCTAGGGAAATTTCAGTCAAAAGTCTGAGGAATTTAAGCAGGCATCTTTGGATTCATAGCTTTGGGCCTGTGTTCCTAAATTTCCAGCCTCACCCCAGAGAAGACCACCTCCCTTCCTGAAGACCACCCAAATTTTAGCAGTGTCTTTTGCTCTGTCCAGCCTGTGAAAGTACCTCCCCCTTTGCCCCATCTGTAAACATGAAGTTTACTTTACCAACTTTTAGACTGATTTGGATCTGCCAAAATAAAAAAAATAAAAATAAAAAAAGGACAAGTTATTTTTGAAGAAAAAGTAATGTTTACCTTCTTGCCCAAAGAGGTTAAATGAGGAACACAAGAGCTGAGTTCTGGAGCACCTTCCTGTGTATACTCTATTACAAATTTCTTCCACTCCCTTGTGGGAAAATTCAGTCTCTAGTCAATTGTTGATAAAGGCAGCACGTTGTAATTTCATGCAAATGTCATCATGCAGTTTCCTGCAGAAGACCAGGAAACCTATATCTAGCAATGTGCTAACAGCACTTCTCTTAAAGCTGTCCAACTAGTTTGGCAGGAGGCATCCTAAAAACATCTGACTGCAAAGCCAAGTCATCCTTAGCTGTAAAACAGCATTAACACTGGAGGTCCATGGCTGCAGTGCTGTGTGTAGTTCCTTTTGAATTTGGTGGTGTCAGGACTTGGACACAGGAGTGTGCAGGGTTCTTGCTAGGATGTAGAGATCCCTTATTCAGAGCTGAGCTTGCTTGCAGAGTTAGAGCAAATGAATAGGAAATGCATGAGTTTTATGTTGCCTAGAGGTAGTAGGTACTTGTTCAGGTACAGAGCCAGCTTTCTGCGTGAGGAAGGATTTTAATTAGAGAGAGTAAGAAGTATTTCCTTGATCTGTAACAGGAATCCCCACCCAGGGGGTATTCTTTTAAATCACTGGAGCTAAGAATAGGAGTCCAAGAGAGGCTTGTCACATGGTGGTGTATCCCCAACATGCAGTGAGATGCAAAGAAAGAGATGGGAAGCACAACTCTGCACACAGTATCGGATCTCCTCAGTAATATATTTCTCCTTTTCATTTCTTTGCTGTTCCATTTGCATTCACTTTGTTGTTTGCTTTTCCTTTCTGCGTATTTCTTCAGACTTCTTAGTCGTTCGTTTCTGCCTCTTTATCTTTTTCTTTCTTTCTGTATATTGCCTTTCCCATTGCATTCTCCATCTTTTCTTCTGCTGCTTCTATGAGTCCTACCCATTTTTCACTGCCTTTTTTAAATACCTTTCACTACTTTACTTCTTCCAAACTCTGTGCTTTCTCCCTGCCTCTTATACTGACATCATTCCTCCACTCATTTCTTTGATTTGCTCTGTATATTCCCTTAGAACGTGTTTGCAATCTGCTTCACTACTTTGTCTCAGAACATTGTACCATGTGTGCAAATTCTGACCTTTCTAGGCCATTAGGAATAGTAAAAGTTGGAAGGAACCTCTGGAGATCATTGAGTCCAACTCACTGCTACAGAAGCTCCCTTGAGCAGGTTGCACAGGAAAGCATCCAGGCAGGTTTTGAGTACTTCCAAAGAAGGAGATTCCACAACCTTTTCAGGCAGCCTGTTCAAGTGCTCTGTCACCCTCAAAGTAGAGAAGTACTTCCTCTTGTGGGTAAAGAATTTTTGCCCATGGCCCCATTCACTTGACTTCTGCCCTTTAAGTATTTGTAATCGTTGATATGATCCCTCTTCAGCCTTCTCTTCTCCAGACTGAACAGTCCAAGGTTTCTCAGTCTTGTTTCATAAGGGAGATGATCCAGGACCCCAGTCATCTTTGTGGCCCTCTGCTGGACTCTCTCTCCAGTAATTCTCTGACTTTTTTGAACTGAGGAGCCCAGAAATGGACACAGTACTCCAGATGTGGCTTCACCAGGGCAGAGGATCGCCTCCCTCAACCTGCTGGCCACACTCTTCTTAATGCACCCCAAGATACCATTGGCCTTCTGGGCCACAAAGGTGTGCTGCTGGCTCATGGCCAGCTTGTTCCCTACCAGGACACTGAGGTTCTCTGCACAGCTCTTCACCAGCAGCTCAGCCCCTAACCTGTAGTCTGGTACCTGCAGTCATTCCTCTCCATATGCAGGACTCTACACTTGCTCTTGTAAAAATATCCGAGGTTCCAAACTGCACTGCTTTTCCAGCCAGGCCAATCGCTTGTGTGCAGAGTTTTTCAAGTTTCAAAACCAGCTGCTCATCCCCCAAAATAATTCCTGCTACTGCAAAACATTTAGATGTTCCAGTTCTCTTCTACAAAATGCTGGGAACAGGAAGTGGGCAATGACTGTGCAGCTAAGCAAGTGATGAGATGACTAGACTGCATAACACTGCAGTTTGCAACTGCCTGCAAAAGCCAGCCGTGGCTTGCTTTTTTCCATCAGGCCAGTTACCCATCATTGGATAGTAATGCTGTGTTGAAAGGTGAGGTGGAGTAGCTTGGTGATCTGAGCAAGTCCTCACCTATGCTCACTTTCTCCGTCACAGCCAACGCCCTTCAGTACAAATGCATTTCTATACACCACTATACAAGCTCCCACACAGGTTTTCCCATGTCCTCCCATGCAATTTCTTGCCCACAGCCCAGAGGCCAGAATGGGTGGAACAGTGCAGTACCTTGTAATGGCATTTCTCACGTTAGCAGGAGCTGTTCTGATATTTCCCTCTCACATGCCGCAAGTTGAATAGATTTTACATTGGAACTTCTAAATTTCCATAGGAGTGGAAGAGTCTAGGAAACAGGACTAGTACACTCAAATCTAATTGCTGAATGGAACAAGGATTATAGCATAACCCTCCTTTTTGGCTGTATGATGTCCATTATACCAAAAGCATTAGGCTGGCCTGCTGGCTTCAAGGGGCTCGTGGAGACAGATTACATCACTGCTCTACCCATAGCTGTACTTTCTGGCCCTCCGTGGGCTATTTTGCCTATTTGTGTTGTTGCTTGTTTGGTTTCCACCCACACTTGGCTCCTTCAAACTGGGCTGTGGCATAAGCCTAACACCTTATCTGAACTCACTTACTAGGTGTTAGTATATTAGATCATCTAAGATACCATTAGTAAAAGCTAAAATTCATGATGATTAGCAAATTAACAAAGATTAACAAAGCTAGACTAAATATTAGTCTAGTCTGGACTTGCTAGTAGGAAATAAGAATTATTTTCCAAAAGCAGAAAGAAGAAGCAGATATGGAAAATGAACCAGAGCTTTTCATGGCCTTTTGTAAACTGAGACAGCTTCTTATCTGAAATATCAGCTTGCCTTGCATAGGCTGGGGTACCTTAGTATTAGTCAGGAGGTGGAGGCAGACAGGTCTCTGCCTGAGGCAGTATTCCTGTGTGCTTTCATGGGATAGCCTTCCTTGGCAAAGGCACCAACAAGGAGCTCTCTGGGAACATACGTTGAATGCACAAACTGTTCTGATCAGCATTTAAATGGAGTATGAGCTGGATTGAATGGCTCCTGCACTGCAATATTTTCATGATCTGGAAAATCTGAGGGTGATATCTCAGCTTTTCTCCTTCAGTAAGTCTTATCCAGGCAGAAAAAGAGAAATGAGGCAGTCTAACAGATTTTCATCAGTCTAGCAGACTGGCACAGCAGTAGCAATAACATGTAATATGGCTTGCTGGATACCTGCAACTACTAGAGCACAGCTCAGAGTCAGTGCTGAGACACAGAGGAACTGCACAGATTGTAGGCAACTAGTCCACCTTGCCCATGTACAGACTGCCCAGCTGCTCATCAGCTGCCAACCCCACGTGCAATACCCAGACCCATGGGAGAACCAGTGTACACTGCAGTGATGACAGCTCTGGATAACTACAACCCCACCTCCAAAACAGATCAGACAATGATGAGGCACATGAAACATTTTCCAGACACTCAGTAATCGCTGAAGCTATTGAGATAGTAAAGATCTTTGCAGGCAGTTTCCTCTCAGGCAGAAGGAAATGAATTCTTACATACTGCATTCTTCTATCCATGCATCAGAATGCCTGATGAAGAGCAGCAAGGACCCACAGATGCCTGCAGGGACTCATCTCCTGTTGGTTTTGGTGAGTTTGTCCCCTCAGTGCCTTCAACGATGTGAACCATTATATCAACTGACTGTCTGATACTAAGATAAGTCAGAGACCATTAAAGGCTCACGAAGGGAAGCCAACTGGTGAAACCACTTAATCTTTGTGACTACAGGCTACTTGTGGTTTGGGAACATCAATAATCAAAACAGAACTCTCTCGAAATCCATAATAGCCACTGTGCTGTTCTCTGGTATGAGAAGAAAGGAATATGTATGAAAGGTTGCATGTTCCCATTTAGAAATCTCTTTCTAGGTTCTTTCAGATCTGAAGAACCTGAAGGAATGAAATGGTCCCTTCTTTGAAGACACATTATTGAACTCACTCTATATATTGACCAACTAGTAACATACTCCTTAACTGTCAGCTATTATTATGTGATCCAAAAGGGCAATTCAGTCACAGATTTGATTTTTTCATACATTTAACTGTGTCCTGGATGAATCTATCAATTTCTGTTCCTATCTTCTTGGAGGCTGAGTGAAGGACAACAGACTGACACTGGATGTACTTCAGACATTCGACACAGGTTTTGTAGTGCTTTATTCTGAACAGTGATTAGGTAAATCAGTACTGAACATATGCAGCAGGCAGTCTTTAGATAGAAATGAAAACTAATTACAATAATTTCATATGGAATTTGGAGACTGGTAATTACAATATTAATCTCACTCAAGTCAAAGTCTTTATTTCTTTCTTGAACCCCAGAGGTTAGTTAAGTGTGTGGAGCCTTCTTGATGCTGAATCCAGAAGCAATAGAAAATCTATCTGAAGAGTGTGGCACTTTCAATATTAATCCAAGTGATATCTATCCTAGAATTGCAACCTTCTTTTTCTCAGGATATGTACAACAGAGTTCCTCTCAGCTGCAGTGAACTGGTCACCTCTGCCATGTCTGAAGGAGAATGAGTGAAAAAATCCCACACAGTAGAGTGCAACCTCCTCAGCCTACAAACTGATGTAGCTCACACTGGAGAGTCTTCTAGATGTTTTACTATTGCCTCTTGTGTCCATATGTGCAGCTGTTGTTTCACAGATGCAAACACTGTGTTGTTTAGCTGCACTATTTCACTGTGCCTTAGCAGGGTCCAGCAGGGCACCCTGGATTACCAGACTATAACCAGGTACAAGAGGAGGGTTATCACACCACATGTCCACATTTTCCCCTTTTATACACTAGAGATCCACTGAGTATGAGTCTCGAGGGAAGGTGTTTTGGATATGAAACAGGAACGCAGCTCTTCCCCCCAGAGCCTTTTCCAGCTCCTGGTCTTTCGAAAACAGGCTTTTTGTTCATTTTGTTTTGGAAAAAGGTGTCACAGAGGAACAAAATATTCTTGTGTATAAGGATGGAATACTTCTTAGTAAAATATCGTGTGTTCTGCACAGTGGGAATCCTTCAGCTTAAGGGGATTAATAAAAGGAAATTAGTTCTGCTGCATATGTAGAGTACATTGTATTACCCTGCTGATATATGAACCTCTTAGAATTCCTTTCAAAGGTGATAGTCAGGACACCAAGCTTTACAGGTTTTTTCATAATTAATATTCCCTGCTTAAGGGGAACAGAATCTGCCAGAAAGAATCACATTGCGAGTTTTGTTGTGCCTAAACAAAAAGATAAACGGATGGTCAGCTTTAAATTCATCTTTGTGTTGCAGAATCCGATATCCTGGTACCTCTAGAGACTCTCCACCCTGTTCATTTACTTCCAAAGAGACTTTATGAATGATCTTCGACAAAACCACACCTTTGGTTTCACACATCTCAGAGAAATCTGATGCACTCTCATCAAAGACATTTGTCATGCCAAGGCTTTCCAGGAGTGGCTTCAGGTCATAATCACCTTCCACACTAAACTTTGGAAGAAATACATTCACTTTGGTGTTGGCCATTATGCTGGGATTGGTCCACTGTAATAACGTCTCAGGGGTGAGTGCCTTTTCCAGCTGAGGACAAAGAACAAAGGAAATTAATGTGCAGTTCAGAGAAAGTGGGAACAAAAAGACCATTTCTGAACTCATCACTCCTATCAAACACCAAAAAACAAAGCCCAAAAGACAACTTCTGCTTGTAGCATTCAGAGTTAACTTACACTCTCAGTTATATTGATGTAAAGATTATTTAATCTGTAGAGTAGACTTCCAGAGAAACTCCATTAAATGTGTATACTCTGATTATTGGTTCTGCACAAGCGTTTGCTATGTAATCAGCTCAACAGCCTAATGAAGGAATCCAAGAAGACAGTCCCTACTCAGGCTACACACACCTGTGCACCAACTCAGCTGTGCACGGAAAGCATCATCTCAATACTGTTGTTTTTCTCTCACCTTTTCCAGGCCAGTCGTCTCATCTTCAATGTCTTTGGGAAGCAGAATGAGCATGCTGATATGTTTGTTAAGGCATGGAAGTTCAAGGATTGCAACATTTAACTCTTTTACATAACCCAGGCAAAAAGTGGCTTCCAGATTCATCATTTGTACTGGCTTAGTTTCAGTCTGCAAAACACAAGAGGAGACAATCTATCACTCCTTTTAATTCACAGAGAAGATGAGAGAGGAAATTTTGCAAGCTTGCATGAAAGTGGTACATTGATTACCATCATGGAATTTGTTGGCTTTTATAAGTAATGATATCAGCTATAAGACTCTACTAGTGAAAGCTGTTTGTACTTTAAGGGGAGCAGTTTTCCTGTCTACTTAACATACTGGGGATGTGCTTTAAAGGAAAAAACTACCTACTGTTGGTGACCCTTAGTGCTTGTTTCACCAACAGCTTCAAACTAGCAACGTAACAAGAAAACTGGCTTAAGTACTTTTGCAACAACATGTAGGTTTTGATAGAGAGTCTAAGAATGCCATGTAGTAACAAACATTTCTCACTTTCTCTTATTGAAATTTCCTTAGCACAAAATTGGCAAACATTTATTTGAGTGGAAGCAGTACTCTATTTTATTTTAGGACATACCTTGTTGATTTTAAAAGGACATTCTTTGATCTCTGCCTCTGGGAACTTCTTCATCCAGTTTGTGACAAAATAAGCTGCATTAACTAGGAGGATCTGAGTCTGGTCACTTACACTATCCTCATTCAAAATATTCTCCATTTTGCCTGTGAACATGGTTAAACTGGTCATTAATACGATAAATTATCAACATATGTGTTGTTTTCACAGAACATGGAAACACTGTACTGAATTAAAATATTTCTGCCTTGCACCTCACAGATAGCAATTTTAAAGGGAAATTCAAAAACAGAAGCATTTAGTTCCCTAGCTGCAGCTTCATGTTTGAAGCAGGATTTGGGATCAAGACAGATCTTCCAAGTGACATTCTTACTCAGTTTACATAAAACAGAATAAAAAATATATCTACTGCTTTTGTTTAGTACTTTAAAGAAGGTACTGAAACTTCAGTGAAATTCAGCAGATAGAACTGAAAAAATATTTCTCATTTGGAGAGCAAGACTTCAAGGGAAGTTCCTGTTTAGCTTCTACTCACTTTTGGAGTGATACATGAGAATAAAATAACCCAAATAAGAAATACCACTAACTATCATCTAATTACAGTTCATAACCAAATAGTGCCATGGATTTCAAAAACAGAACGGAATTCTTTCCCTCACTTAATTTTGTGTCTGTTCAAACACTGTCATAAGATACTGAATTCAGAGTGCTGTGTATTTTAGTCTCCATTCATGCATAAATCACACAAGCAGTGCAAAGTCCTTCCCTGTGGGCACCTATATCACCTTAGGATGGACCAGATGCGACTCAGGCACCCATATTTTCATATTTGTACCACATGAGGGCAATAGGCAGCAACTGACCCTGGAGCTATCTGTGAACAGCATGTATATAAGCTCTGCCTTGGGCACTGCGCACCAGACCTCTACCCCACATAGACTGGGCAGGTTCTGCCTGGGAGCCCTGATGGTCACTAAGAGGTGCTTCTTGTGACTCAATGGCTCAGAAGTACTGCAGGAAAAGTGCAGTCCTATTGCCACAGGAGCATCTCCAAGTAAGAAATATTTGTCCACCTGTGGTCAAAATCAGCTGTGCTGCTGAGATGAGCTACTAATTAACAGCCTGAAATTCAGAGTCCAGAACATACTCTCCATTAGAGAACGGGACTAGAATTTGATGTACTGATGTCAGATGTTTGTGAAGCTCCACAGCCAGGAGCTGTCATTCTCCCACACTTTCCCAATGAAAACAAATGAGATGCTTTGCCAAAGGCTAATGCAAGGTCTGCCTCTAGAAATGCCACAGTAGTAAAGTAAATGATTTAAAAGCATGCTAACATGGCTAATCCTCATGAATCCAAATAATAAGTGTAGTCCCATTGCTTTCACTATATATTTATTTCTAAAAGCAATAATTAGGAGATGTTGTGAGGACAAAGATATCATTCTTCAAAGTGGGAAGCAGCATCCCTGAGTTTAGGCCCTACTCACCGTCAGTTAGCTCTGAGAGAGATTTGTTGATCTTCTGTCGTGTTTCCTCAGTTTTTTCTTTGAACTCCACTAGTTCCAGCTCTGATGGAAAAGGCCTCTTTGTGGAGTTAACAAAGTCCTGAAAGACACGAGGTACCAAAGCTAACCTCCCTTAAATGCTCTTCACTAGATGACTCTTTACGTGGCCTACAACATCAATATCCCAAGCTTCATTATGGTGTAGGCGGAGAGTATATTACAAAGCACAGCTAATAAGTAACAGCAGGTGACAGCCAGGATACACAGCCGTATTCAACAGATTGCTCCCAAGACTGTCTTCAATCCAGTGACACTGGCTGCTGAAGTAGCTTTGGTATTACAGGAGTAAACATGTTGCCCGAGTTTGAAAGGATAAAGCGGCCTTCAATCTAGACCTGGGCAAAAGAAAGGGACGAGACAAAGGCCACAGGTTGCTCACAGTGCTCTCTGCTGTGGATGGCACCAAAGAGCAGGCAACCTAATTATAACACCATTTAAGCAGGTTGTGAGTCTTCTGAAATATCACTTCTAGGCTGAAGTTGCCCTTGCTTGGGGCCCTATTCAAAAGCAACTCTGATAAATCAAATACAACATTTTTCTCAGTTGTTTGCAAGGTCCTTAAATTTCATGGCCAAACAACACCTTCCTCACTTGTGTTGTTTGAATAACCAGGCTTGCGCCTCCTCAGTTAGATTAAGAAAACTACTCTTTATGCAGTAATTACTTGGGTGTGTGGGCTAGAAACTACACTTGCACTACCATCTTTATTTAAAATCCTTCCCAGTCATACTTATATTGCAAAGCCCTTGATGTGGCATAGAAGTCACATTGTATTCAAAACCTACTGCGTCTACTGACCTAAAACATATTAATGAAAGAACTGCAACTGTAGCAGTGGCTGCATTGCTTCGGGTCAAGCAGAACAATCATCCTCCTACAAACTTATATTATGCTGTTCATCATTTGAGTCTAGTCCAGTAAAAGTTAATAGTATAGAATGTATTTTGAATAACATCGAAGTCTGGTTGGTCAAGCAATTCAAGCATTTTTCTGCAGTACTCACTGTGGTAGGACTGAGAGACTTGTCAACAAAGAGCCGCTTGACCATTTTCAGTGCAAAGAAAGAGGTGAGTTTGGAAACATCTGCAGTTACCGTTTGAAACCCAAAAGAAACATCTTTGACGTCTTGTAAGTGGAGCACCTGATAATGACAATGATAAAATCACTGATCACTTTCTTTTTATTATCATAGAATCACAGCGTCATTAAGGTTGGAAATGACCTCTAAGACGATCTAGTCCAACCCATCATCACCATGCCCACCAAACCACATCCCTCAGTGCCACATGTACACATTTCTTGAACAGCTTCCTGGGTAGCCTGTTCCAATACCTCACTGCTCTTTCAGAAAATAAATTTTCCTAATATCCAAACTGAACCCCCCCTGGCGCAACTTGGGGCATTGACCTCTCATCCTATTAATGCCACCTAGGAGAAGAAGCCAGCCCCAACCTCACCACAACCCCCTCTCAGGCAGTTGTAGAGAGTGATAAAGTCTCCCCTAAGCCTCTTCTTCTCCAGACTGAAATGATCCCAGTTCCCTCAGCTGCTCTCCTGTAAGACCTGTGCTCCAGACCCTTTACAGCTTTGTTGTCCTTCTCTGGGCATGCTCCTGGCCTAACAGTTTGGCAATAAATAATGTTTGTTTGTGACCAGAGTTTTGAATTTTTGTATTTAAGCTGACAATACAACCTCTCACTCTTATTTATTACTAAAAAAATAATTCATTTATTTGACATCCCCACATAAATCTAAAGACTTGATTCTATCAAAACTTCAACCAAAAGTGTTTCCTTTCTGTGAGCAGTCCAAAAAATTCCATAGAGCTGTTCATACTAGTAATGTGATTTAGTGAAATCTGCAGTGTGGAGTCATGTTTTCATCAAACTCACATTCTCGTCCAAAAATCTGGAGATTAGAGGCCAGATAAACAAATATTCCAGTTAGTTTCCTTTCTGCAAATGGGCTACTTCTTTGAAAACTGCTTACCAGATGGCAAGGTTTGCTGATTATTGACACATGCTATCAGTTTCAGCAGAAATCAATCAGATAACTAGGTGAGCTTTGGTAGACAGAATGTAAGCTAGAGATACGGCTGCTGACCCACCTCCTCCCAACCCCTGGGAATCACATGCCCAGTTCAGGATGTTTTAACATGACCTAAAACTCTCTGCTTTTAGGTGCCTCCCTGTTGCAAGATCTTTGAGAGTGCATGTTCCATTAAAAACAGCCTGCCCAACCCTTATCATCTTTCCCAGTCAGCATTAGTGACCTTTTCCCCTTCAGCCTCACTCCTGCTCTTTCTCCCTGAACACACCATGTCTTTACAGACACAGTAAATTACCTCTTGAGAAATGTGAAATGTAAGTGCACTTATGTAACAGAACTCTATTTGTGGATGTGGATGTTCACTTACTATGGGACAGTCCAGTGCAAATTGCAGACACAAGTGAAAGTGAAATTAAGCACAGGATAATATTTTAAGCTCTTCCATTGGAAAGACTGCTTGAATTTTGAAATGGTGAGGAAGCTTTGGGGTGTCATTTAAACTAGAAATAAGATCTAAAACTCATCTTTATTTTTTTTAACAATCCTATTTGGGAAAACACCCAGCAGGCTTTGTGGATATATCACTTTGTTGCTGTGTAGACAGGCTCACTGCAATTTGTAGGATGAGTGGAGGCATCGGAGGCTGTGCTCCAGCAATGTGCCATCAGGGAAACCAAAGGTACAGGGAGGAACTGCTAAAGGAAGCAAAATGTATTCAAATACGTGGAATGCCCCTGAGACCCAGGTGATAATCAGCATATAAATGCATGCTGAATTTGCTTCTCATTCACCTCTAGGTAACTGTAGAGACTGTGGGCACTGGAATAAAAAGAGGGCTGTGTAAATCCTGGCTCTCACAGAGGCAGTCGTGCAGCCTCTCCACACCACAGAACGACCTCAATACACTCATTGCACCATCACCATGATGCTGCTTTGTGGTGCTGTAAAACCCTTGAGCATCTAGAGCTATTTGCAAGCCAAACTACTATTCAAGCTGTGCTACCTCCTACTGCGTTATCTTCCTCTTAGCTGTATGACAGGAGAAAGGGGAAATGGCAGACAGAACTGCTAAAATTACCTGGTAATGGCAAAATTATTTCCAGTCCTGTTAAGCTTAGGCAATCCTGAATCACCACAAAACAATTATCCAGAAAATGCAGTGACTTCAGCAGTGACCTTCAGCCATAGTCAGCACTCTGCTGAAAGGAGACCTTAGTGCAACTGCTGAGGACACTGACATGTCCCCATCCACCTTGTAAATGCTTGAAAAAGCTTTTTTTCCATATGCCAGTGATTTTCAGCCTCCTTGGTTGTGTGGAGCCATGAAGTGTGGAAACATTCTGGAATTCTGGATGGACAGTTTTCTGTCTGGCTTACAAGGGAATCAGCATTCTTGTACAGTATTAACAGAATAAATAGGAAAGCCACCTCTGATAGCCACATAATTTTGCAGCTACAGAGCAGGATGCTAACAGCTCACCTTCTTCATTTGGTCTGCAGTGTCACCCTTTGTAGCTTTATATGCCAGAGCCAAAGACGTGGAGGTACATAGCGGGGCAAAGACAATATTGGCTGTTTTGTCCTTCTCGCACAGCTTTTTGAACATATCAACAGCAAAGGCAGTGTTTGCTAGTTGCAGAGCATCCATTGTCATCCTGAAACAGAAAAGGATAAAGAGAGATGACCAACAGAGTGAGCTCCTGTTGCAGCGGGGCTGGCAGGTCACTGATTTTCTTGCTGAAGGAGACTGGACACCAGTATGGGGACTGGGCAGCTTGAGTCTACAGTGGAAGGCGAAAAAACCTGACCAATCCTGCCCAGTCTCAGACACCACCAGCACCTTTTGAGGAGAGTCTCATCCATGCCCAACCAAGGTAATGCGAGTGGCTCAGTAAAAGCCCTTACCTTCAAGTGACAGCTGGCAATTCTGCGTGCTGTACGGAGCCAGTATTACCAGATGTACGTGGAGAAATCTGGGTTGGTCAGGGTGACCCGCACATATCAAGTCATATTGGATAACATATGGATTTAATCTGTTTTTAATTGATACTCTTCAAATGTGCCAACTTACAAGGCACTTTGCCTATGCTTTGGGCCCTTCTAGTGCTTTCATATGCCTTTAAAAGTCTCACAATCTTTCCTGTCTCTTGCTTCACATCTAATTGTTCATTAAAGCTTTAGCTGTGGCACGTCCTCTCTTTAAGGGGTGATTTCCTCCCCTCCAGAAAGCTGCCTGATCCTGTAGGTTGAGATCATCCTAGAAACTCTAAGTACTTAGCCTCCTACATAAATACTGCTATGTGCCCACTCATCACTTACAATGATGACTGCAAATATTTTCCTAGCAGTTCAGAGTAACTGCAATTGCCACAGGGCAGTTAGCTGATCTATGTAGTCAGGAATGGAAAAGGTGGTGTCAAGCAACAGATGTTCTGGACCCTGTTCAGGGAATGCCATGGAATATTCCAATCTTCCAGACTGCTTCATAGATCTAAAGCTGCACTTTGGTGTAACTCTATTTGTGTAGATTAAAGACAACAAAGGTAAACCATAGAATTCAGTCAATATCATATCGAGCTTAAGACCAGCATGGATATGGAAGATGGTGGCTCCTTTGGCACAGTGAGTTTGACACTGTTCTACCTCCAAAATCATGTGTCCCTAAAGAAAGGGAAAGGCAATCTGATAAACTGGTGCTCAACAGCTCTGTCTATTGAAAGAGACAGAAAGGAAAAGGAGAAGATGAATACTGCAAGGGACTTCAAAAGAGCAAAGATTTCAAACAGAAGCCAAAAAAATTCTTCAACATGTGCTCTCCCCAGGAAAAAAAAAATGACAAAATATTGGAATTTATCTGGCATGGTGAGGTGATTTTAAAAGTTCTATTCTTATCCAGACATCCATTTACAATACATTTCAGGCTCTGATACAGTAGATGCAAACAGGAAAGTCAGCTATTTATTTGAAGCATTACCTTGGTGAGAGGTTTGCTGATCTTGCAAGAAGCACCTGAAGGACAGGGATTTCTCTCAAATGACTTCTTAATACTGCAGTCTTAAACATTTACCTAGTTCATACCTTTTGCATCCTAGATTCCAACAGATGCGTAAAGATCTCACCAGATGAGAGCAGCTAGGTAAGGCAAGACAGAAATGGGAAGATGGGACATATGGACATGGAACTGTCTCCAGAGCAAGGATGCCTGCTCCTGACCACTCACTCTCATCCCTATTTGGAATGGCATTTTGAATGACAAAAATCTGCATTCAAGAGCAAGTGCCGTGCTGTCTAAATTTTGCTGAATATCAGACACCACTGCATAGAGATGCTGTGGCAGTTTTGGTAGTTGAGAGTAGAGATTTCCAAAATAATCTGTGGTATTTATACATTTTTATAGGAGTAACAGAACAGGGGAGTATTTTGTCTGCAACACAGCAGAGAAAAGTTTGATTTCCATGTAAGACCTGTAGAAAAGACCTTCACGTCTTTGTTTTCATTAACTTATATATGTACATATTCTATATATTTAGTAAGGCACCTGGCTTAATTTTAGCTAAAAGACACTGTACAAAAGGTTACTGAAATGTATTACACAATCTAATTAAGTGAAAAAGGATACTGCCATAAAATCAACGCTTTTTAAATCCAAATTTGAAGAACACTTACCCAGCACTGTCCTCTCACATAGTGCTCTGATTGTTGGTATTAGCAACAAAGTATTTCCTAATTGTCTCCCAATGCAAAGAAAGCAATTTATCTTGAGGATGAAATATATATATATATATAGCACTGGAGAAAGTTATCCCCAAATAAAAATGAAGAGGAAGATGTTTGCAACATGTAGAGGACTCCTGTAAGACCCTTTTCAAGCAGAATGGGTCTGTCCATCTCCCATAACACTGGCAGTGTTCCAAGATGCTTGGTAACAAAGATTACCCTGGGAGATCCCGTTTTATAGTGTCAGCAGGAATCAAGGTAGTGTCAGAGTGAGGTTTGGGAAATGTTTTCAGAGTTTTTCTGGGTGTAAAAGTGAGAACTCAGTGCCAGTCAGCATTACAAACATCTACGTCATTCCTGTGGTCACAACTTCTCACATACAAAAGCAACTTATTACCAGAAAAGTCAAGCTTGCTAGAAATGATAGACTCTGCATATGTCAAAGGAGAAGAGAGCTTTGGGCAAAATAGTGACAAAAGGCAGTAAAAACAAATATGAAGATCTGGGACTGCTGCTAGGGGAGTCACTTGGAACAACAGGTCAAAGAAGCATTTCTCACTGAGGAGACTGTGGAAAATTACCCAAGGAACCAAGAATGTGTCATTCAACATCTACCACTCTCACGAAGATAAACAATACGCCTAATCTCACAATGCCAGAATGATGTGTGCAGTTTACCTGAAAAATATTCCATTTGCTAATGGAGTAAAATATCCTTTTTTAGTTATGGTTGGCCTGATACTATTTTCACTTCCAAATCTTCCTTACAGACTAAGAAACTATATGAAATCATAATAACCTCAAAACATTTCATGTTGCTTTCTGACTTCATGCTAGAAATGCAATCCAGCCTTTCTAACATCAGCATTTTCAGCTATATTGGCAAATGACCTGCAGTGATATTAAAATGTGCATGTGCTACCTGTGTTTCACTCTCCTGGGTGACAAAAGATTCAGAGTAAGGAAATTGTGAAATTTTGCAAAATTATATGACACCCATCTACCTTACACCAGTGAAATTCTGCACCAGGACATAGAAATTTTTTTTTCTGGTACCATTCAAGCTGAATCATTTTCTGCAAGGTTTCTATGTTCCTCTTCAGTGAGGAAACCTGAAGGTACTTTGTGGTGAACCTTTTACAGACCTTCTGTTCACTCAGTAACTGATGATGTTTCTCAATGCCTTTGTTATGCCAAGATAATCTATTCCTGGTAATGGCAAGGTTTATCACTCTTATCATTTCTTTCTTTTAGTGCTACTACTGATATAATGCACATTCAGAGGATTTTGTGGGGGAAAAAAAACCCTCAGTTTCACCCTGCTGTTTCAGTAAGGGCTGGATAGCAAAGAATAATCTCTATCTCACCATCTTTTTTAACTGCATCTGGTCAGTCTTCTTTTTTAATGCTCCATTTATTAATGGCACATGACGCATAGGAGCTCATGGCGTTCATATGCTTGAAAGGAATTTACTGCATGAAATATTACAAAATCGTGAACCTCTTTAAAGGCCCAAGCTGTGTCAGTGACCCCTCTACAGCAAGTTCTGGCTGAGTGAGAAGGGCTGAGCCCCCCCTCAAGACGAAAGCCCATCAGGTGCTCATGAGCGGTCCCAGAAACCAGACGAAGCTCCCGAATCAGTAATCAAGGAAACTCTCACACAGGGAGGAGTCAACAAAATTGGAAATGAAATTTCAAGAAGGGCTGTTTGGATTCTGGCTGAGTCCCTGCTTTCCCAGGAGAGCAGCAAGTCAGCATTCTGAGAGGCCCGCGGCACGGTGGCACCTTCTATGCACAGGCAGCCTGTGATCCACCCAGCTTTGTTTAAAGCTGTGACGGGGCCACAGAGTTCAAGAAACACGTTCAGATACAGGAGGAAGCTGAGAGGCTCTAGAATCAGTTCAGAAAAAAATAATTTAAAAGTGCTTAGTAGCATAAGACACTATTTTTGCTTTGTCACTGCTGAATGCAACCAATAAGGCTTTGTTTACTGTTTGCTTACTAAGCGAAAAGCTACATTTAGCTTTCATCTTCTAAAAATTAATCAGAAGAACAGCAACATTTCTGTGGAAACCTGACAAGTCACGTCAGCTGAGTGGTAAGAATCATCTGATAAAGCAGAGCAAGCATTTATTTTATTCTTGCCTTTGTTAAAGAGCCCTGAGCAGAGCACACCTGGGGCAGACAGGGTGGTGGCCATCTAAGCTGGGCTGGTGCTGGGACTGTGCACCAGGGCTACAGCTCAGGAGCTGTGAATGAACACCCCACAGTCATTTCAGTTTAGATCAATGATATGAAAGAACACTTATTCACAAGCGGGACATTCCCCCTCCAAACTAGCTCATTTGACATGACCTTACTGGAGCTCTTGCTCGGATAACACAAAATACAAAGGAACAAAACTCTTGTGAGCCTCTTCTTCCTACTTCTACACAAATGGCAGCTCTCCACCAGGCAGGCTACACAGCACTGTGACAAATACATGGTCTCCTCTGAACAGATGTTTCTCTGAGGAATGCACAATATCAGACCGATGCTTTACTTTAGTGAGATCAGAGTGTTCATCAGGTTGTGGAAAAAGCACCATCAGCAACACAATTGAGAAAGTCATGCCAGGAATTAGAGAGTCTCAAGAATGTGCTTTATGGTGCCTCATAGTTAGTGAATTTTTCCAACCGTACGAGCACACTGAAGATGAAGTAGGTAATTAGCAGACTATAGTACTTGTCCTTTGAACAAGCAAGGCTTAGACAAAGCAAAGAGAGCAAAGCATACAAAACCCATCAGAAAACAAAAAGAATATTCTTTTGTAAACTTCTAAAACAGTCCACACCTACTTAGAGATATGGAGCATTTTCATGGCATCATATACAGCCTGCTTTTCTGATTCAGGAAAAGCCATTTGGAACAGTCAACAGATAGTCTAAATATTCTAATTCCTTCGCAGTCTCACCTGAAGACCCCACTCACCGTTTGCAATGAATCTTTTCAAGGGTAAGGAATGTAAACAAACAAACACAGCAATGCTGGGACAAAATCCACCTTTAATTTCATATGCTGTCTTTTCATACGAGCTTCCTTATCCTGTTCACTCTATGCGATTACATTTCACGTCAGAAATTTTATAACTATTAGTTAGGCACTGAAGTACCAGAAGAAGAAAAAATGTTGTACTTACTTTGCAAGGGTATAATCCTGGTAAATGAATCAATGAAATGGGTCCGACACGAAGAACTAGAGACCTGTGGTGAAACCTTGCTCAGCAGAAGAGTCTGTTAGCTTGCCTGCTCATTGACACCACTCCCACTTTCCCAGCCCTAATTACGCACACACTCTCGCTTTTTTTTTCTTTCTTTTTTTTTT